ACTTTTGCTGATTACAAGGATTTTATGCACGTAGGTCCTTAAACTGAAACACTTTGTTCCCATCAAATAATAGAATTCTGTAATTTATGACTATGAGCAGGATAATCTCTTGTAACACTTCATGACTCAACCCGATGCAAACCATAACTCCTCTCAATAGAAACACATACATTTTCTTTCAAAAGATTATTAAAAAATAAAAGTAATTACTAAAGCAGCATATATTTATTCTATTTATATCCTGTCTTTTCTTCAGGAGCTGAAGACGCTCTACTCAACACTGTTTAGCAGTCTCAGCAATTTTATGGATTTCAACTTTCAGAATTCTCCAGACAACACACATTAAGGTTGCTGAGGTTAAGAAACATTAGTCTACATAATATTCAAATATTTTCCCCCACAACAAAAATCCTGTGAGGTAGATTGGACTCAAAGAGTGGCCAAACTAAAGGCAACAATAGGTTATAGGGCTGGAGGGGGATAGGATTTGAACCTTTACCACCTCCCAAGTTTACTGTGGTGGCAGACTTTGCACCACAAAATTTAACAGCCTTTATATATCTTAAACCTGACTTTGAATAATGTCAGAACAAAGGGCAGCATCATGGAGGCATAGTAGGAACAAAAATGCTTTAAGGTCCTATTTCTGCCCTATTTATGAGCAACTGAGGATACAACCCACAAACCCACAATCCTTTTTTCCAGCTTCTTAAGTAGTCATTTTGAATTTGGAAAGGAGACCACAAGGAACTTCTAGAACTATGGAGAATAGTTGGGGAAGTGGGGTCAATGTTAGTATGAATACCTGAAGTCTCGAAAGGAGAAAGTGTCTAAATACTAATTAGATTACGGTTTTGAAAGAATATAGAATCCACTTTTAATCCTCCCAAAATAATGTCTTACCATTTTCATTTAGCATAATTTTTATCTTTTGAGCTTTTTGTTTTTCTACTTTAAGGGTAACTAAAACATTTTGTTTACATCAATATTTTTATCCATATTACTAAATGATCAAGCAAGACTGCCCTAGTCTACCATCCAATCACTAAGTAGCTAGTCATATTTAACACTGTTGAAAAAAATGAGAAAAAATACTGTGATAGAAGTGGGGGGATGGGGCAAAATCATATCTTAATATCCGTAAAAAGCTAAAATGTAAAATACAGAGACTTATTTGGAAGAATGCCACTGAAATAAATGATTTTTTTTAATGCAAGGCTGCTGCAATGTTGAAGGGTAATATATATACCGGTAGCTTGCAAACAACTGTGGAGAATCAAGGAGAGGGATCTGCTGCCTGCTTCCACCACTGTTACTTCCCACTTCCCATTCCCCACGGCCATTGCCATGGGCCGGACAGGGACAGCCAAAGAGCCAGATGTGGCCTGTAGGCCATAAAGTGGCCAGGTCTGGCCTTGAGGAAGCCTTTAAAAAACAACACAAACACACTCCTTCAGCCCTGGGACAGGAGACAATATTGGGAAGAGACCTGGCTGTCTCTTCACTGTCTCAGTAAACTGTATTTTGCAAACCAAATTACAAGATTGTGTTAATGTAGCCTAAATCAGTAAGATCTAGTTTTGGTCTTCTTGTAAGGTCAATTTCCTGATCTGGACAACCTTAAAGCTTTGACAACAACCTTGCATTGGTGAAGTGTTCAATGGACAAGCATGTGCCATTATTCCACAGACCAACTCTTGTAATGCTTTTCAGGAAATTAAGCACCACTGAAGCTACAAGACTGCTTTCATTATAAAGCTTTTCAGATTAAAGTTTCAGCGTCCAGGAGCAATGCAACTTGGTTGATCAGACAAACAATATACTGTAGGTTTTGACTAATCTTTTAGCAGATTGTGAGGACTATAACATGTTTCACTGACTATGCTCCAGCTCTCCTGATGCTTTCTTTTAGGTTTCCCATAATTCTATTACTTTTAAATCTATTTCATTCATGGGCTATGGCGGGGTGGGGTGGGGGGAGGATAGGCATGTTGATTTATATCTTGCCTTTACTCCAGGAGTTCGAGGTGGTATACACTCTATTTCCTCCTTATTGAGCAATATTCTTAGTAAACCACAATTATGCCCAATTGACAAATGACATCATCACGCAAATGCTGCAGCTTACGTATTTGTGTCAGATGCCAGGTTTCAAGTTACACTCAGAGGTCTGACAAAGGTATGTAAGTCATGTCATACCCAGGGTGACAGAGTTGCACATGTTTTGTCAACTGCCACCCCTCTCCTGTTCCTATGGGCTGGAGGGACCTAAGTCATAGGTGAGCTTCCATGGCTAAGAGTGACCTTCAGTCCAAGCCCTTAACCACTATGCCACACTGGTTCTCTTCTAAAGCCTACTTTAAAGGCATTTCCTAACTTTCTATTTCTGGGAGGATCATCTATTTTGCACCTAATCAAATTAAATGAAATACGTTTAGCCACTGTATAAAAGTTAAATACATACAGGAAGGAAAAGGTATTTTGGAGCAGATATGGGTGAATCTGTTCATGTCTTCTTCAAAAATCTGTGGGGGTTTTTCCTGAGCAAACCCAGTAGCTGTGCATTCATAGGAAAATGCACATTAGGGAATTAGGGATGCTGCAATAAGATGGCATCCCTGATGCAAATGTCATTTCCCTGGAATTGTGGAGCAACACTGTGAACCTAGGAAAGGTGTGGCATCTTTAAGGGGGTGCCGTATGTTGCACTGAATGCATTCCCATCCCTTCTAAAGCACATTCTCCACTTGGCTTTTAAATAGCTGCATATTGCTAATGTGTATGAATGAATGACATATGAACCATCATGCAGGTCTATGTAAATATGCGAACAGAGCTAAATACTAATTCTTACTAATCAACAAATGCCCTACAATTTAGATTTTAACTGCTTTATAGTTTCTACAGGACCAGGCTACCGTGTCTTCCTACTTTTCTAAAATTGGGACTATACATGCAATAATAGCTGCAAGAGCTGTATTGATAGCTATGAATTGGATCCAGTGATCTGGATCTAAGATAAAATGTAGTTTGTCCAATTTTTATTTACTATGTTATACAGTATAAGGCCAACCAACTATAGTTTATATAAGACTTTTATATTTTAATTCAACTCAGTACAGTATAAGCAGAAAATTCTTGAATCCCATTTTTTCATATTGGCTGATCGGCAATATAGATTTTGTTAATCAATAAATTGTCCTTTTCTCTTTGCTTCATATCTGTCAAAATCAGTCGCTTCTAGAGAAGATTTAACAGGCATGAGATGAACTAATGAACCATCAACTGCCCAGAATCACTTAGTAAGATGGGTTGTTCCTAAATTTGATAAATAAATGGACTATGCCATCCACTCATAGTTAGGACTGTTTTAATGCTGACAATTGCAAGATCCTTGTCCATTTTATGGCTGGGCAGGTAGTAGAACTTGGATGACCTTTTCTAATGACAGAAACTAAACAGGTTCGGGCTTATAGTCACCCAGGAATTCCATGGCTCCTGGCTAGGGAGGGTAGTTGGAAAAACAAAGGAGCCAATGGCACATGACTTCCAAAATGCCAACAAGAATAACTACAAGAACACATTCATTAGAAATTGAGCTTGACTGAAGAGCATCTTTTATTTTTTTTTAATCCAAATTACAGATTAGGAATAAAACAGCAGAGACAACATAGTTTCAATTACTTATTGCAGAAGTGCATCTTTGTTTTGTTTCTTTCCTATATTTTGTTACTGCCTTCATTTTTGCACTTTGCATTCATTTATGTAAGAAACCAGCTATGAGGTAGGTGCTACACTACAGCTTCCCATAAAGGTTTCTTCTGTCTCTTGAGGAAAAAAAGACTCTCATGAGTCAAATCTAATGCGTTGAACTTCACCTATGGAATTGGTACATATACAATAGCTTTTGTCAAAACCTAGAAATGCATATAATACATAAGCTAAAAATGGTAGTACTGTATATAATTTTAGGGGTATTTTGTGATCATGGATATAAAAATTATTATATCTATGATTTGTGGACAAGGGGGTGGCTTTAAAATGAAAATAATTCATGTAAAGTTCAAGGAGTTCTATTACAGAAACTAAAACACAATCAATGTTAAAAAAAGTTGTTTTCTATAGCAACACAAACTATGAAGTACTCTAGGCTACTCTCCTTCATTGCCTTGGAGGCAGATTGTCAAATTGTTTCATTACTGAAACAAAAATTATTCCAAACAATATATGTTGGAGAATATACTAAAATAAGCTTCCATTTATGTATTATTTTCTGATGCCAAGAAATGGGACATTCTTCATAAAGAACATCCTAGGTGCTGCTAACATATTGCATCAAATCAGTAATTCTAATTATCTACTTTGTTTTAAATTTTCTATGGTTAAAAATTGGGTTAAATACCTTAAGTTAATATTGGTAAAAAGAATGAAAACATTGCACAGTAAAGCATTATTGCTTTCTTATAAAAAGAAATGAAAATATCAATTCACTGAGTCAGACAGCATCACTATTTTATCCAGCTAATAATTACAACTCAAGCAACATGTTAAAAATTACATAACGGTAGCATTTCAGTCTGGTTCTATTTATGACTACTCAAAATTTCATGCTCTTGGGACTGACTCCTTAAGGTTTCAGGTTTAATAACTTATATGAAAAGCTAAGATTTCATAGAAGAGACTTCTTCCTGTTGCGTATGAGTCATGAGAAGACTTCCATTTTTCCAAGAAACCAAACACAACTATTGAAATGCTTGAGTATAACTATTGTTGTTACCAAAGGAGAGAAAAGACTTGATTCAATTTGGTGGAATGAACTTGCATATATTTGATAACCGAAAAATCAATTCTAATGTATAAAATGATAAGCATCTTAAATAGCACTTTTGCAATGCAAAGTTTATAAATAAAACTTATCACAGTACTGTTCATTATTATAATATAGAAATATGGAAAAGTATGCATAAATTGTCCTTTTAAAAAACATTCAAAGTACTTACTGTTACTTGACTTGAGATCTCTGTGAAGGATGGGGACGATGGCTTCTTCGTGTAAATAAAGCATCCCTCGAGCAATTTGTACTGCCCAGTTGACTAATATATGAGGAGGAATGCGACGGCCCCAGTGGTTCCCACTAGCGGTGGGGAAAGTACCTGACAAAGCTCTATTGAGGGGTCCTCCCCTGGCAAATTCCATAACTAGGCAGAGGTTGGGCTCCTGCAAACTTACACCATGAAGTTCGATGATATTTGGATGTTTCAACATGGAAAACAATTTTGCCTCCTGCCTCACATTCTCTGCTGTGGCCATGATGTCCTCATCTGGATCCTGCCGGGCCGCTTTCACTGCAACTTCTTGGCCATTCCATATAGCTTTATAAACTTTACCAAAACCTCCAACTCCAATAATCTCTTGCAGTTCCAGATGCTGGAAGTCAATCTCTGCTAGAGAACCCATATGGTCTTCATTATCTGCAGGGTGCCCATCACCCACGGCCAGGTTTTGGGTTTGATGCCCAGTCTTCTCCAACAATCCTAACTGGGGGTGTTGGTAACACCCTAGTTGGTAGGTCACATAGTTTGCAGGGAAGATGCCAAGACGATGATGGATTTTACCTGCCCACCACCCATCATCTCCGGACACGGCTGCATCTTTAGACAAAACTTCCACCATTTCCCCTCGACGCAAACTCAGCTCATCTTCTCCAGTGGCTTCATAGTCATACAACACAGTCCACAGTGGGCAAGAGTTGCTACTGGTCCCCAAGCTCCCTTCAGCTGTTCCCTCAGAGCTCACCAAAGCCATGGTCAAGATACAGGTACTAACCACATCAGCTTCTGCCTTGGCATTTGAGAACAATTAATGAAGTCGTTGTTGAAGCCACCTCTTCCCTATTTTAGGCAGGCATAAAAAGTGCTAGGAAAGGAGTGAAACAAAGCAAAAAGAAAAGAGACACCGGGGATTGGCGCATGAGTTGAGTGAGGAGTAGAAATCACAGTATTTGGATCAGACATTTGGAGTGCAGAAAGGTCAAAGACAAGAAACTGAGTTATGAAAGCGATGAGAGGCAGGATAAACATAAGGTGACAATGAGGGAAAGAGTGAAGGAGTCAGAGAAAGAAAACACAACCCAGATGCATAGAAGGGTTCAGGGAAAGGACCCGTGGCAAAGCAGGAAGTGAAAAGTGTGTTCGGGATAAATGGGATCGAGGCAAAGAAAGTTTGTGTGGAGTGATTTAGAGAGCTAGGGAAAAAAAATCCGAGGGCCCGAGAGAACAAGAAAAGAAGCAAGCAGAATTAAGGCGGAGATAGAATGGGAAAATGAAATGAGGGAAGCGGGGAAGAAGCAGGAGGAAACCCCAAGAGAAGCGGCGATCGCAAAGGGATGCAGTCCCAGGGGGCCCAGGTGAGGGAAGGGAGCCACGCAAGGAACGAGGAGACGGGCGATGGGAGAAGCAACAGGTAAACAGGTAAAGCGCTCGCGGGGAAACGGAGACCGCGGGCGATCCGAGACGGCCTCAGCGGCTAAAGGTAACGCCACCGCCTCCGCCGCCACGGCCGATCGAGCGCTTCTCCCGGGTCTTCTCAGCAAACTTTTCTGCCGCCCAGAGCAGCTCCCGAACAACTAGTGGCTGGCCTGGATTGGACGGCCGAGAGCACGTGACGTCGAGGCCAGGCTCTGGGTGCGGGTCAAAGAGTGAAGTCGTGCAGGTGCGTGTCTGGCTGTGGTCCTGGGGGTTGCCCTGTCACGGATGGCGCCGGTGCCAAGCAGCAAACTCCCGGGCGCCCTCGGGAAAGGAAGGGTCGTCGGCAGAAGCAGAGACGCAGCAAGGCGGAAGGGGCGGTGGCAACGCTGTTGCAACTTGTTGCGCGCTCTTAGCCGCGCGCGCTCTTATCAAATGGAACCGGGGAAGGGCAGGCTGCGATGAATGAGACGGCGGGGTGTGCTTGGGATAGCCGTGGGAACAAGCTATGTTTTAAGCCTTGACCCAATGCCGGGTTTTGTTTGTTATCAGCCACTAGGCACTCTTTGAACGATGATTATTAGTTCTGTAATTCTTATTACATTCTCCCCAAATATCTGCAAAAGTTGTAGCAAATGGAAAAGTGTTTAGATCCGCATCTGGAATATCCAGCAGGTACTTACAGGTACCGTTTCCCCACTGACATTTGCCAGGATCCTTGACCTGCATTTTGAATATATTCCTATCTGTGTCCACTAGCTCTCAAAGTTTGGGGTCTCCGTGCTCCAGATGCTGATGAACTGCAGTACCCAGCATTTTCACCACTGACCATGCTGGCTGAAATTCTTGAAATTGACTTTTAGCAACCTTTTTTTAAAGCCAATGGTCCCCCACTCCTTGGACTAGAACTGGTCATAATACTGTACAAAAAAAGTCTTGTACTTTTACAATGCATCGAATGAATCAGTGCATATTGTGAGCTATAGTAAAAAAAATTGTATTTCCTTTACACTAATACAACAAACAAGGTACTGTATATTTATTTTCTGCAATCATGTACAGTCAGTTTTTTCCCATTCTGGGCTCAATGGGGTCTTAAAATGAGCACAGGACTGCAACCAAATAAATGTATATCGTAAGGACAGTAACAATCTTTGGGTGGAGTACCCATTTTAGATTATTTATGTTGGGTATTAATACCCAACAGGATACATGGACAATGCACAACTGATTCTGTAGCTCTTAAGTCAATCTAAATTTAAAATGTTATATCAGTCCTAGTCTAAAGTAAGATTCCATTATCAATCCAGTGTGATATTGCAATCTCAGATGTGTCAGTTCTGCAACAGCAGAACTATTCATAACAGATACCTGTTCAGAAGGAAGCCCTATTGAGTACATGGGAAGGTGCTTATTCCAAAGTAAGTAGGAAATGGCTGGGTGCTTAGCATGCTCTTTTTCCAGGAAAATGCAGTTGGATTATGATCTTGAAATATTGTAGAGAAAACTCTGGCTACTGAGCTAATTTACTAGGATTGTGATCTGGAAGGAACTATATAATAATAATCTCTGTCCTTCCTGTCTATGTAGCCATTTAAATGTTAGTAACCTCCCTTGTTTGGCAGTTTGTATTCTTTGAAGGCCAAATTCATGCAGAGAAACACATTGGCGGAGAAAACTGTAAATAGTGCCGGCTACAATTGTTCATTAAGGACAATTATCTTGAAGTTTCTTGTTTCAGCTGGGTCTTACCAAGGAGCTTCGTCTCACCCAATATTATTAGGGTACCAGGTAGCATTGCGAATCAGTGTTTAGGGAGGAATAAATAACCCCACAATTATGTTTAAATATCAATTAGCTCTCTGCTCAAGATAGAATTATGTTCATGGTATCGTGTCTGGATATTTGTACTTCCCTATAGTAGTCAGAAGGTTAAATCATGGCAACTGGACTATTTTTTGTTAGCTCTAGACCAGGGTAGGCAACCTTGGCTCTTTTATGACTCATGGACTTCAACTCCCAGAATTCCTGAGCCAGCAACCCTAACCCTAACCCCCTAACCCTAAGCCTAACCCCCTGGCTGAGGAATTCTGGGAGTTGAAGTCCATGAGTCATAAAAGGGCCAAGGTTGCCTACCCCTGCTGTAGATGTTTGTTCTGCTCATCCAAACAGCTTCATCGGTCAGGGCAAATCAGTGAGGCAGGGAGTTGTTGGAATGTACCAATTATTGCCACATTAACCTCAGGGGTTTCCTCTCCAAAATGTGTTGCAATATGTGGATGAAGATTCTCAGTCATCCAGGCAAAGATGTCAAAAGGTTGAATCATGACAACTGGACTTTATTTGTTTGTTTATTTGTTTATTTGCCTACAGGAGCTATTCTCTCATCCATGTTCAGATAGACCAAATATTTATATAGTACAGAACTGTTATAATTACAGATCTGTATTAAATTCTTCACTACTGGTTTAATAGCAATCAGCTGTTAAGCAAACCAACTCGCTTTAGTTTTTAGGCTATTGTTCAGCTAGTATTTTTGACTCTTTTTTTGTCCTTCATTATTATATAGCAGGTGCCATAGGAGTGCAGTGTCAAGTCCCCCATTGATTCACCCTTATCCATTGCAATTCATATGGGTCAAAAGAACAATAACCTCTAGATTGCTACTTGTGCCTTTTTTTATCTGTCCTCCACATTCTTTTCATTCCCTTATCATTTTAGTAGGGATTGTCTATGGAGATTTTCAGTCATGCAGGTCATAGTTGTCACAAAGGTGGTTATTCAAAAGGCTTTCTTTGTTTTTCCTTGAAGATATTTCCGTCTCATCTGAAGAAGCTTCTTGGATGAGAAATGAAACATCTTCAGGGAAAAACAAAGGCAGGGCAGTTGTCTTTTGAAAAAGCACCTTTGGATTAGTAGGGACTACTTTTTTTAACAATTGGCAAAATGCGAACAGATTTGGAAGCATTTTCAGCTAATGTGGTTTATAAAATGTTCTTAAAGTACTAATCATGCAGACTTTAATCTTTATAATAGGAATTATCTTGCATGCATATTACAATGTCTTACAGATGTTTCTTTTTAGCGTCCTTGGAAAATTTCTCCAAGGTTAGTTGCTTTGGCAATGAAAAGTGGCCACTTGGCATCTTACTACAGATATGAAAGCAGGCTAGCACAAGCACGCCACCACAGTAGCCCTCGGACTCCCTTTCCTTTTTCAATGATTTATAAAAGAGGAAACTAGTAGTAATTCCTAAAATGAACCTTCACAAATTGCAAAGCACACCAGCTTTTTCTGAATGGTAAAAAGCAAAACATGAACAATAGAGGAGCTCACATTACAAATATTTTAAATGAATTTGTGGGAGATTATTATACAAAACTGTAGGCTGGCTTGGTCATTCAACAGTGAGACATTGGTGAAGTGAGCACAGCAGCGCTTGCATTTTCTGCGTCACATGAGAAAAGCGCATCTTCCTTCCCCTGTCCTGACCACTTTCTACAGGGGGACAATCGAGAGCATCCTGTCATACAGCATCACAGTCTGGTTTGGAGGCATCACTGCTTGAGACAGGAAGGCGGTGCAGAGAGTGGTAAGAATGGCCGAAAAGATCATTGGCAGTTCCTTCCCTCCCATCCAGGACACAGCACAGAAGCACTGCTTGAGCAGGGTCCGCAAGATTATCTGGGACACTACCCATCCTCTTTGCAACCTGTTTTCCTTGTTACCTTCTGGGAGGAGGCTTCATGGTATCTGTAGCAGAACATCCAGATTCAGCCATAGTTTCATTCCATACAGCATTAACCTTGTGAACTCTCAAGCTTCCTCCTTCCGTTATATATTCAAGATGGACAGTATTTAATATTTATTTGTTATATATATGTAGGAGTGTGGGTCTATACATTTGTTGTACATAGCATGTTTAGGTGTGTGTCATGTATGTGTTTCACTTTGAGAGCGGGCAACTCAATTTCATTTTTGATGTGTGCCATTGTGCCCACAGTAAAAAAATGACAATAAAGATTATCATATCTGTTCAGTTGAAACTTGGCTTCCCCTCTATATTTCACTATAATCAGAATGGTATAATATTGGATGATGCAGTAGGTGATCTTTTAGATGATAAGCCTGGTGGCAAGAATTGTTTTATTATTAATCTTTCATTTACAAAGACCTTCCTTTTCTTGGCTGAGGGAGTGAAGCTTTTCAAAAAGGAACTAATAAAGTGTTAAAATTTCCACTAACAGTATGTAAGATTTTCAGGAATCCATAGATTGGACATCAGTTATGCTGGAGACCTGAAGCTTGGATGGGAAGATACAGTGGTGAACATATATCCACAGATCTCTATTTTGTAGAAGCAGACTTGAACCTAGGATGAAGGTGGGATTCAAATATTGAGAAAAATTAAAGCCTGTACAGATTTATTTATTTAGCATATGTCATATCATACATGGACCAGCAGTATGTATTTCATCTAGATTTTCATCTAGATTAATAAAACACAATAAAATATAAATCTTAAAAAAAATCTATGATCAAATACCAATGTCTAGGCCAAGGGTAGACAACTTGTGGACTTCAACTTCCAGAATTCTGGGAGGCTTGACCTGTATATGGGCACGAGTCATAAAAGAGCCAAGGTTGCCTACCCCTGGTCTAGGCCATCTAACCATTGAAGTATAGCATCGTTTATATGCCTTCAGCTTACAACCAGTCACAATGTGATCTACAGTTTGATGTGGGACCCTGCAGTCACACTGAGGGAAGGATTCCATGCCCCATTTATACAATGAGTCCCGGCAGACACCATGTGAAGTACGAATCCTATTCAGGATTGTCCATTGCTGGCCTGGTAGTTGAAAGCCTGACATTTTTCATGGTGTCATTTATGTGCCTTCCTGTGTCCGGACATTCAGCCACTCATTTAGTTTTTCATTGGGAATTGATGTTAAAGTTGTTGAGCAGATATTATGCAGGTGCCAGTGGGGACTTTCTGGATTTGAGTCAACTGGTTGATAAATGAGGTAGGAGTGAGTTGTTCAGAAAGAAGAGAGAAGAAGCAGGCACACTTGCAACAGGTTTAAGTAAAATAATTATTTCAAAGATGAGCCATATGGTGAAAAGCTCATCTAAAAAAAGACTAACAACTGGAGAAGATCCAAACAACAACATTATTTCGATATTAGTTCTATTCTGTGACAAGTGTGTAGATCAAAGCAAATGTGAGCATGTATGTACTCTATACCAGTGGTGGCAAACCTATGGCACGGGTGCCAGAGGCGGCACTCAGAGCCCTCTCTGTGGGCACACGTGCCATCACCCCAGTCCTAGGCCTTCAGCTGGGTTTTATAGAACCTTTTCACTTTAGGCCTCCTCCACTATGTACAAAAAAAAAAAAAAAGATTCAATCAGTCAATTTCATGGGAATGAAATTCTCGTGGGAAAAAAAAGGATCTTTCAAAATTGGAATTGATTGATTGAACTTTTTAGTCCCACCCAGTCTGCCGTTACCACCGCAGCCATGCCCATCCAATGGGCCATCCCCACCCAATGGGCCACACCCAATGGGCCATACCCACCCGGCACCCGACGATGCATAAGTGGGTTTTGAGTTGCAGTTTGGGCACTCGGTCTCTAAAAGGTTCGCCATCATTGCTCTATACCCCAAGGAGACCCCAACAGAAATGCTTTACAACCAATAAAGAAATGAGGTCGCTCTAAAACAGGCAAGGGTATCATTCCTAGTAGATCATTCCTAGTAGATCATTCAGTTATGAGCATTCTTTGGGATGCAACAAAGTAGCTTTGGAGTATGAGGGGGTGTGAATTACTCCAACAAGCTGACCTTGTTAGGGAAGAAGGGAGAAAGAAAGAAGCAGAACAATATATTTTTTTTAATATATTGCCTTTGGTTTAGTCATAATGCTGTGTTTAATAAATTGGCATCATAACAAGAATTTGCTACTTAAAGGAGCCATGAAAGAAATACAATTAAAAGCATATATGTAGCAGAATATTCAAAAATGGTTATATAATGGTGTAATTTACGACATGTTCTTAATTCCAAATCACCAAAGACACCAAGAAGGGACAGGACTGCATATTGTTAAAACTATAACACTCTTTTCAAATTTTAAACACAGCACGAAAGAGAAGACTTACACATTAAAGCACTGGAAACTAACGCTTTGTGTTGGACATATTAACTGGAGCAGTTCTCCTTGCTGTTTAATTGGCTGAAAACTTTTTCAATGGCACCTCCTAGTGGTGGATGGAAGGACATAAAACCAGCATGCCTTGGCTTTGTAGTTCTTCGCTTTTAAATGCATTTCCCACACAAACGTGAAAGTTAAGGACTCTGCTTTGCGTTGCATTCGCGATTCATAATTTTGGTGCAGAGTTTAGTGTAGTCTTTAGATTGTTAATATAGATATCTCAAATAGGTAACTTAAGGTGACTTCGCTGGTTTTTATTTTTTTAATTACGGTATCCAGCCAGGAGTCTCCGTATTTCCCCCAACGCGAGAGCAGTTAAAACGGGCCTCTGCATTTTCAGAAACGGGAGGAGAGTTATTGTTTTGTTCCGGAGCATAAGTTGCAATTCGACACCTGCAAGACTCAGCGCGCAAATTCCGTCGTCATAACTTCGGGATTGATTTGTGGGAGTGTTGTTTCTTCCCCCATTATCTATACCTAACAGAATAACAGAGCTGGAAGGGATCTTGGAGGTCTTCTAGTCCAACCTCTTAAGTCTTCTAGTCCAACACCTCAAGATTTCGGGAAAACCCGACTAGTGATAACACTATCGCACAATTCCACCTTTCCTTTCGTCTCTCTCCCCCCCCCCCTCACGAAGTAATGTAGTAAATCCTCCCGCTTCATACAGAGACAGCTGTCCGGGCGAGCTGGAGTCCCGAGAGTTAAATGGCACCTCCCGTGTAATTTGGCCACAGTACGGAAGTGGTTTGCCACTGCCGCCTTCCGACATGCTTAAGATTTCTCAGTCGAGCCTCAGATTCTGGAGTTCCCTGGCAGTTTCTCCAGAAGTCTGATCCTAGTTTAGTTTCCTGTTCCAAACCAATTTAGCCTACTGTGCTGAGGTAGAGGCAGGCTTGCTTTCTAGCTATTACTAATTTTCTCAAGATAGGAAGCAGAGAGGGAGAAATGCTGTCTCTGGGGAGAAGATTTGAGCTGAACCGATTCTAGAGAGGTACATCTGAAAAGATCCGGGAGGGAGAAAGGATAGAGGTGTTCTCCAGGCTGGCGCCCTCCAGTAACCGTGTGCCGGGGAATGAAGCGATTTGCAGCTCAACACACACGCGAAGCATATGTGAACGGGTACAGTTAAGGGCTGCAAGTGATTAGCAAGGAAACGGGACACAAACACAGAAGGGGAAATACGTTTCAATCACGGAATACGCTTCAACCATAGCAGCGTGTTGTTCCCCCGCAGCAGCGTAATCTGTCATTAGAAAGATTTTGGGGGTGGGGCGGAGGGCGGAGTCGAGAAGGGCACCGCCTCTGCTTTTGCATCCTTGGGTGGCAGGAGACACGGTTGGTGGATCGGGCTCCCCGCAGCATGATGGGAAAATCCTTCTAGCATCCGGCATGGAGGTTGGGGTGATGCCCGGCGCCGAGAAGCATCTACCCAGGGGGAGCTGCCGCCCCAAGCAACGGCAAGGAGATTGAGCCCGGCGGCCTTGTTTCGTGCACGGCTTGACGATGGTATCCCAAGCAGTGCAGCTGCTCCGGCAGGGAGTATGGGCGGCGTTGACCGGAGGCTGGTACCACGATCCGGAGCAAAGTAAATTCACTAACAGCTGCCATCTCTACCTCTGGCTATTCTTGCTGCTTCTGCCCATGGCGCTGCACTTGGTGAGTCTGATCGGCCGGCGGGAGGTCTGGGCACACAGGGAAGAAGAGGATGAGAGGGTCCAATGATAGGCCTCGGATCTGGGGAAAGAGGCACCTGTCGCCTTCTTATCTGTTGCCATATACAGGTCGAGGACGTGATAAATTGCTGGATGTAGAGCAGTGGTTCTCAACCTTCCTAATGCTGCAACCCTTTCATACAGTTCCTCATCTTGTGGTGACCCCCAACCATAAAATTATTTCCGTTGCTACTTCATAACTGTAATTTTGTTACTGTTATGAAATAATTGGTCCATTAGCGCAGGGCTTTTCAACCTTTTCACCGATTGTACTACTTTTGGAATATGGCAACATTCGAGTACCACCAGTCACCTAGCGAGGTGTCAAAAACTTGATGACCCAAAAAAAAAAAAATGGAAAAAAGTGATAAAGTACAGGTAGTCCTTGACTTAAAACAGTTTGCTTAGTGACTGTTCAAAATTACAACGGCACTGAAAAAAGTGACTTATGACCATTTTTCACACTTATGACCGTTGCAGCATCCCCAGGGTCATGTGATTTACATTTCGATGCTTGGCAACTGATTCATATTTATGATGGTCACATTGTTCCAGGGTCATGTGATCGCCTTTTGCAACCTTCTGACAAGCAATGTTAATGGGGGAAACCAGAGTCACTTAACAACCATGTTACTAATTTAATCTCTCTCTCCCTCTTTCTCTCTCTCCCTCTCTCCCTCTATTTCTCTCTCTCTCCCTCCCTCTTTCTTTCTCTCTCCCTTTCTTTCTCTCTCCCCCTCTTTCTCTCTCCCTCTTTCTCTCCCTCTCTTTCTCTCCATTTCTCTTTCCCTTTCTCCCTTTTTCTCTCCCTCTCTCCCTCCCTCTTCCTCTTTCTCTCCCTCTCTCTCTCCCCCTCTATTTCTCTCCCTTTCTTTCTCTCTCTCTCCTCTCTCTCTCCCTCTCTCTCTCCCTCTTTTTCTGTCCCTCTGTCTCCCTTTCTTTCTCTCTCCTGTTCTCCCTTTCTCTTTCTCTCCCTGTCACTCTCTCTTTCTCTCCCTCTCTTTATTTCTCTCTCCCTCTCTTGCTCTCAAAGATCCTTAAAATACTTAAAGGTTATGCTTGGGTGGAAGACTTTTTCTTTTATAGATGGGGTGGTTTGGCAGACAAGTACTCAAAAAAAAGGGGGGGGGGAAATAAGTGTGAATAGGCATCCAGTAGCTAGCTTGAAGTTTGAACAACTTCTTTCTCTTGCCACCGGCTTCTAGAAGGAGCAAAAGACATCCAGTACTTCAACCAGGCACCCTGGACTGACCATTCTAGGGCTTCCTGCACCAGCTGACTTAGTTGTCTGCAACCTCCTGTTGTTGCTTGAGGGGGGGAAGGGACACGGGGGGGGAGATATTCCTTCTTTCTCATCTGAGGAGGAAAGTTATGTTGGACCGTTGACTCTGTGTCGAGCCCTGTGGATCCGACATTCACAGCCACCTCCCCATCACCCTCCACGCCGGCCGGCTCCATCACCAGACCTCCCAGCTGACAAGCGCACATTCAGGGGGTCACCAGCTGATGGGCGCAGAAGATCGGTGCAGCGGTGACCTTCCAGCCACCCGCTTCTTCGGCTGGAGCAATTGCCAGGGCTTGCATGGTCACCAGTGGTGGGGAGCATGTCAGTGGCCATTGGGGACCACGCCAGTGGTTCTGTGCCACGGAGGCTTGAGGTACGGGACGCGGAGTGGCACGGTGCCATGGAGGCAGCAGGACAGGGGGGAGGGGTTACCTGCATCCTGCCGGCCGAACTCTGGAAGCCTGCCTGTATGAAGAATTGTAGGGGGAGTTGAAAGCGAGACAGGTTCCTAAGAATATGATGTGTGAGGCACGGGGGGCATCGGTGGCGGGCTGCCCCCCCCCAGAGCCAGAGCGGCTGGTGCAGCTGCCCCTGCCCCTATACCCCCACCTGCAGCCCCTGCCAGCCCTGCCGCCCACCCCATGTGCAGCCCCACAGCTCCACAGCATCAACCGTACACCATACTAATGGCGCAGAGCTTGCAGTGGCTGAACCAGATGCCAGTGCAGGGCGGTGGGAGGGCGTGGGCTGCGGGCAGGCCGAGGCGGTGGCAAGTGTCGTGGGCCAGGCACTCCAGGGCGGCCATGTAGGCACACAGGGTGAGGCAACGGCAGTGCAGGTCCAGCATTGGCTAGGCCACCAGCTGGCCTGACCCAAGGAAGGTCAGCCACCCTCCGCGCCCCACGTGCACCACCTTTGCACCCAGCGCCCGCCGCTGCCCCGCCAGCACCACCTCTGCTGCCGCCTTTCCCGCGCAGCCCCGCTGTGTCAAGCGGGTCCCGCGGTTCCCACAGCAGCAGACACAATGCACACCAATGGCGCACGAGGTGAGCACAAGGCTGGCGAACACATGTTTTCCATACTTCAGTGCCAGGCTCTCCATGCTGCAGCACGACATGGAGAACCTGGCTGACACGGGTGAGCATGAGGCAGGAGTGCACATGGACTCCGCTTTTTCGGCAGGGCAGAATTAAGTGCTGCTCCCCACCTTCCACCCTCTTTTACTTACAAGTAGGAGATGGCATAGTTGCTCAGCAGGGAGGGCTGAAAAGTTCCTGCAAACTTGCCTTTGCGGGCTGGGTCTTTTGGCGCGTTCAGCAGGACAGAGATAGCCACTAACGACCAGGTCTGACAATTCCTATTGGCTTTCGAAAGCCAATAGAATAGAATCTATTGAATAGACTCTTAATCTATTGAATAGATTAAGAGTCTATTCAATAGAGTCTATTCTATTGGCTTTCGAAAGCCAATAGAATAGAGGGAGTAGCGCAGCTCATGGAAAAGTTAAAAAAAATCCATCAAAAAAAGGTGCCGGAATGCCGTTCTGAGCGTTCTATGAGAAAAAAAGTCTTGGTCTTAGGCGACCCCTGTGAAATGGTCGTTCGACCCCCAAAGGGGTCACGATCCACAGGTTGAGAACCGCTGATGTAGAGGAAAGGTGTAAGGCAGGGGTCCTCAACCTTGTGGACTTCAACTCCCAGCTTGCTGGCTGAGGAATTCTGGGAGTTGAAGTCCACAAGTCTTAAAGTTGCCAAGGTCAAGGACCTCTGGTGTAAAGGGTGGATTTAAGAGACAAAAAGCAGTGACCGGAAAAGGGATCTGGAAAGTTTATCAACTGTGATGGCTTTATTTTTAATTGTAATAAAAATATTTCTGACCCTTCTTACAGAACTTTGAATTGATTCTGCTTTGCTCCCACAGCAAGTCTCAATCTCTCTCTCTCTCTCTCTCTCTCTCTCTCTCTCTATATATATATATATATATATATATATATATATATATATTCACCATATATATATATTCACCATATATATATATTCTTCAGGTCCTGTGCGGACTAACAAAAATTAAACTGGATATATAAAGAGTTAATGGGTAGTTCTTTCAGACAGTACCTAAGGTCTGATTTACAATGTTAACACGCAAAGTAAAGTTTCTTACACCTACACATGCATGTATGCATGCTATTTTTGGAGAGTTAAATCAAAAAGTTAAATATGAAATAAATACAAAACATAATATCTTAACATTAAAGAAAAATGATAATATGACTGGCATATTGACTTATAATCTCTAATCTACTCACCAGCCATGAATTCCATTAGCAAGTGATTATATTTCAGCCTCAGCTCTCTTCTCTAAAACCTGAACTGTATATTACAGGCTTCTACAGATGACACATTTCAAACAGTTAGCAAAGGAACAAGGCAAATATCAGCTTCATAATTGTAGTTATTTTTTAAAAAGCACAACAGTATTAATCATAATTATGTTATTTTAAAAATATCATTATTCTTTTGTCTAGGCATGCCCCCCCACTACCATCACGGCTGTCATCTACTGTGGTTCTGTGACCTTATTTTTTATGATCATAAAGGTGATCACTTATCGCCTGCACCTGATGTTTGACGAAGGAGAGATGATTCAACAAAAATTCCCTTGTAAGGAAGGGAAACAAAATAAAAAATGTAAAAGAGATAATGCAATTCAGCATAAAAATCTCAGGTAAATTTACTTCTTTATACAAGGCTGTTTGGTGTTATCTGAACTCCTCCTGAAGAATCTGTGTTTTCTTAAAATATGCCAGGGGTAGGCAACCTTGGCTCTTTTATGACTCGTGGACTTCAGCTCCCAGATTTCCTGAGCCAGCCATATGAAATATGCACATCATGTATGTGATAAGAGTCTATAGATCATGGGATCAAATGGATGCTGGAAATCTATCCAGTCATGTTTGTTGATCATGGCAAACAAACAGCTATTTAGGAAAAGAATAAAATTATTCCCTGAAAAATAATTGATTGGCACTACTGTCACATTTCTAATACTATGCACACCCCTGTTTGCAGCAGGGCTCATGTCCAATAACAAGAAGCAAAATGAAAAGATGTTTTTTTTAAACTAAGGGATTCATAGGATTCAAAGGATTCATGCCTTACATGAATCAAACAGCTAGTGTTTTTAGGTCAGTGTTGTCTGCAATGGGAACACTTTAACTTTTTCACTATGGTGAACAGCTTTTCATCATAGTAGAGCATCTGTATCAATCAGCAGGAATAATATCTTTTCCCACCTTATAATTTCCAGTATTTAGTCAGGGTTATTTAACTTCTTTCTGTGGGGTCTTTGATGTTCTCTGAGCCTGCTTGGTTTTATTTATTTATTTATTTATTTATTTTTGCAGACATCTCATTACCCAACTAGGTAACATTGCCCCCGACAGTTTAACCCTGGGATGCTGGGATGTGAACCTTCTCCATCCAAAGCTTTTGCTCTCCATGATAGCTGGGTCTTCCTAGATTACTTAATACCATACTTACCTAGAGCCAAGTTGGCACATTTTTAAGATTGCCCCTTAAGAAAGTTAATGGCATTTCTGAATCAGCTTGTAGTAAACGCAGCACCTTTGAGAATGATTTATTCCTTATCTATTAATCATCAGTCATTTTCTTTCATTTGCATTATTTTTAACAGCAATAACACGAGGGACAGTGGTGCAGAGGAGACCAAGCATAATGGGTCAACACCCACTATCCACAGTAGCATCAAAGGGCAGGCTACCCTCTCTCATTACCCTTCGGGAAACCTGGTTGGTAAACATTTACCTATAATAATATTCCAGTATTTTTCACTCTGTATATGCCATTGGTATCTTATTACAACAACAAATGCAATATGGGTTTTATTTTAAAAAGAACAGCCTCCTCCCACCATTTATTTTTTTCTTAATAAAACAATATACACATTGTGCTCCAAGGTTCTGCATGTCAGAAAACTGTTGCCCCTGGAAAGAAGCAGGAACAGGCAAGCTGTCCCAAAGCTGCTTTTTCAGGAGGCAACTGGACTTTCTTGTGTTTTTCTTTGAAGATGTTTCGCTTCCCGTCCAAGAAGCTTCTTCAGCTCTGACTGGATGGTGGGAAGGGAAGGATTTATATTCCTTGCAGACAGCTGATCATTTGCATTCTTTTAGAGAACAAGGACTCTCTAAAACAGGGGTGTCAAACTCGCAATGTCATGTGACGCATCGCGATGTATCGCAACTTTTTTTGCCATTGCTGGCAATGGGGTGGGCGCGGTTTTACTATGATGCGACCGGCCTGCGGGCCAGCAGTTTAACACCCCTGCTCTAAAACAAGGGTCTTCAAACTTGGCCCTTTTATGACTTGTGGATTTCAATTCCCAGAATTCCTCAGCCAGGCATGCTGGGTGAGGAATTCTGGGAGTTAAAGTCTGCAAGTCATAAAAGCGCCAAGTTTGAAGATCCCTGCTCTAAAAGAATGCAAATGACCAGTTGTCTGCAAGAAATATAAATGCTTCCATTCCCCACCATCCAGTCAGAGCTGAAGAAGCTTCTTGGATGGGAAGCAAAACATCTTCAAAGAAAAAAAAAACAAGAAAGTCCAGTTGCCTCCTGAAAAAGCACCTTTGGGTCAACCATAGCCTGGATGACTGAAAATCTCTATAGATGAACAGGGAAGCTGTTATGATACATTTTGTTTCATTCCACTAAGAGTAGAGAAGGGAGTGGAATTATATTCTCATGACATTCATGAAACTCCAATTGTTTTTCATTTTGTCCATTACTCTAGAACAGACATGTCAAACTCGCGACGTCACGTGACGTTGCCCAGCGTATCGGGACAGTTTTGTCATTGCCGGCAATGGGGTGGGTGCAGCTTCTGCGTGACGCGTCTGGCCCGCAGGCTGGCAGTTTGACACCCCTGCTCTAGATGTAAACTTGAAAGTATGATGGCCCTAAATTCTAAATGATTATTGAAAGTAACAGGGAAATTGAAAACTAAAAAAAATATATATTCTTGGATTTGGGCCGTGTGGAAAAATGTTATCAATGCTGAGAATTGAGTATTCAGGGGACCGTTAAGCTGAATCTGGTACTTGGTCTAATAAGTCTTCTGCTTCTTCACAAAGGTGCTTTGTCTTGTGACAGAACAAACCCCAAAGCTTTATTTATATTTAAATAAAGTGGAGGCTGGTCTGACAAAGAGAGATTAGCCCAAGATCAGGTAGCAAGCTTCATGGTTCAATGAAACATCTTGGGATATCTTGGTCCATATTTAATATTTTAACTATTTCATTGCATTAGTTCTCCATCATAGTAGAAGCTCTGTATCAATCAGCAGGAATAATCTCCTTCCCCGTCTTATAATTTTCAGTTTTAGTCAGAATTATTTAATTTCTTTCTGTGGGGATCCTTGGTGCTCTCTGAGCCTGCTTGTTTTCTTGCAGACATTTCATCACCCAACTAGGTAATATCAGTGCACCCCACAGTTCAACTCTGAGCCAAAAATATTCTCTTCCATTGGTAATGTCTTTCTTTAATGTGAAATACAGTCTGAACAAAACAGATAACCCAGTGCCTATCTATACCTCATACTTTCTTATAAGCATGGTTTTCTGGCAAGCTGACTTGGAAAGATAGCTGAAAAATGCAATGATTTTATTCATTAATTTTGGGGCCATTGGTTTAATGGAAAATGGAACATAATTACATTATTTGTTGCTCTAAAACACATTTATAGTTCACATCATTTTAACTGATGTATTTCATTTCAGAATCTGCCAGCTCAAGAAACCATCGAAGATCTGAAAGGTACGCTACAAACAACATTCTATAGCAGAGGGGGGCAACTATGGCTTCTTTATAACCTGTGGACTTCACCTCCCAGAATTCCTGAACCAGCCTTTTTGGTTCAAGAATTCTGGGAATTGAAGTCCACAGGTTATAAAGGGACCACAGTCGCCTATCCAGTTCTATAATGAGCATGCTCAGTGGTGGTATATAGTAAGGTGACCAACTTTTTTACAATGAAAAGGAGGACACAAATAAATTGAAGAAAAAATATTGTAAATAAAATTGCGCTCAGCAGCAATTCCTATTGGCTTTCAAAAGCCAATAGGGGGAGTAGCACAGCTCATGCAAAAGTTGAAAAAAAAAACATTAAAAAAAAAGTGCTGGAACGCCGTTCTGAGCGTTTTATGAGAAAAAAAAAAGCCCTGCAGATTAGTCTTCAAATATCGAAAAGAAGGACATGTAGGAGGACACTTTTCAAGGGAGGACAGAACTTACAAAAGGAGGACTGTCCTCCCTAAAGGAGGATGGTTGGTCACCTTATATATAGGAACTTTAGTTCAAAAGAGCTGAAGTACAGCAGAAACACTTCTCTAATTTAAAATACAGGCAACTTCTCAGGCCTGGTTATAATTTATTCATACTATTTATTTAATTTAAAGGTATCTTTTCAAAGAACAATTACATTTTAAGCTAAATAGATGTATATTTCTTAGCTGATTTAAAACATCACAGCCCCTTTTATGAATAAGTCCTCCTTAAAGAATATGAACTACATTTGTGTATATTTCCTACATTATCAGGAATGTTTCTCAGTTTGATGGGATCTTCAGTTTATCTTGTCTCTTCATGAATTCTTTAGATTTTTTTTTTAATAACTGCTCCCTGGCTTTTGACTTTTGGAATTGTACAGAACTACCAGGTTACCTAGTAATTGAATTTCATGGTGTTCACAGCCCAATCCCACACAATTATTAAGCATTACAGAATAAATGTTATGTGGAAGAAATGAACTTTGTTATTGTTTACAGCCCAATCCCACACAATTATTAAGCATTACAGAATAAATGTTACGTGGAAGAAATGAACTTTGTTATTTTTTGTTGTTAGTGTCCTTATCGTAATAACTGAAATATTTATATATTCGAATATCTGCTTTCTAAACGCTGAATATGTTAAGGGATCTGTTTCCTGGCTGTCTTGCTAATTGGCCAAGTATCTTTCTCCTATATATATTTAATCAGGATATTTTTAGTATTTTTATTGTTTTAAAATGTTTTCAGCATTTTTAACAGCAATATATATATTTTTTAATTTTGAAGCCACTCACTGACTGAGATGGGTAGCTATAGAAACTGAATAAATAAATGGTTTTTACCTTTAAAAATAATGTTACATACTGAACATATTTTCATGATTTTTTTTATTGATCTATATTATTTTTTTGTAGATTCTAACTCTCAAGAAAATAATAGGTGCTGTCAAAGTAAATTGGGCATATTTACTCTCCATTCCAAGCAATGGGATTTAACTGCACATTAACTGCTAATTTTAAAGAATTTTCTGGAATGTCTTTTCTGAGAAAGCTTCATATATCTTTGATGTGCAGTATCTCTTTGTCTTTTTCTACTAGGAGTACTGGTTTCAGAAGAACAACCTGTCCCACCAGTATTATTGACCTCACCCTGCATCAAAGCTGACATTTTGCCTGCTTCTATGACAAGTATGCCAAGTTCTACTACACCAGCAATAGTGGACAAGCCGAATGCTATGGAGACTGTTATCAATGGTGGAACAAATGAAAAAGAAGAGAAGGCACAACCATCTAACTATAGTGGAGAAGAGGATGCTCCTCTGGATAAAGATGTGGTTGTTAAAACATTGCCAAATCTTTCTTTGTCCCAGTGTGATATTTTAAAAACACGCATTTCTTTTGAGCCTTGGAGTACAGACAGTCCTGTCCTCTTTTCGGAGAATTTAAACGATCTTACGTGTTTAAGGAAAGAGAATTTATTGGATGGGTCAGCTCAAGACAGCACTGCAAGCGGTTTCCCTCAGTGCAATTCTATGGAAACGAAGAGATTTGCAGAAAGAGATTTGGATGACTTAAAAGCAGAGTTTGATGAATCAGAAAGTGAGATAACTGTTGCACTGGTGGACAGTTCTCATTCTGGGGATCCATTCACGTTACATGAACCCATTAAAATAGTTATCACCATGAGTAGCACCCATAACTCAGCTACTGATTTGGAGGGCTTACCTCACATGAAATTGTCGAACTCTAAAAAATCTGGTTCAGATCCAGAATCTGCTGTGGCTGCAACAGTTCAAGATAGTAAACAAAGCAACAATCCAATGATAATCCCTGTCATTACTTTTGATCTATCTGAGGACAATGGAGGCCATGCTTTTCAAGAAGTAAGTGAAAGCTTAAGAACCCCAGAGAATTTAAATGTCAATGCATCGTCTAACCAATGTTCCGGCTATGAATCTGGTGAACAAGACAATATTGGAAAGGAAAACAGTGACAATCCCTCAAACAATCCCTCAAGCCATGAAGAAATAATTATGTGTCCTGAAAATGCTTCTGAAATTCTAGAAGACCCAGAAGAAGGCCAGTGGAATTTGGAAGTCCCCTTATATAAAACAGCTCATGAGAAGAGACATGCTCGTGTTCTCAGTGTGGATAGTGGGACAGATGTGTTTTTAAGTAAGAATTCATCAGAGACTGTTAGTGCAAAAGAAAAACTTATGCCCACATCAAAATCCGACCTGGAAGCTAAAGAAGGGCAGATACCAAATGAATCAAATTTCTTGGAATTTGTTTCACTGCTGGAATCCATCAACACTTCAAAGCCAACAGCACCAGAATTGAAAGCAGAGCCTGCGAAAGATAAAGGGCTTGCTGGAGGTACACTGCATAATTCAAATTATTAGTTTCCAGTGCACACAAGAAATGTGAGGAATTTATGTGCAATAAAAGCTGTTTCCACTCATGCTAAAAGCAATAGCCACAAATAAGTATATATATGCTCTAGAATATTAAACATGAAAGACATGCATAAATAAATATCAGTAAAATCTTAATTGATGTAAGATGGATAGGGTTTTTTAGTTTCATCAGATTTATTTGGGGTACCATATTTGATTAGTTTTTAAGAAGACATTGTCTCCTTGCTGATCTTAATCTGTCTTTTACTGAGTTAGGAAAAAATGCTCAAGCTTTAAGAATACTAATAGCAATTAAACTTAGACTTCTATGCTGCTTCATAATGTTCGTTGGTTCATTCATTCAAATTTGTTAGAGCTACCCAACTCTGGTGAATTCTTTGCATTCTTTGCATGGTGGATATCAATTGTCCTTTGCTGGTTTTATTCTTTGTTACATTTCATGGTTTGCTGTACAGAGGTGTAGATGGAGCCCTTCTTGCAATTGATTCCATTCTTTAGAAGTGTGTGTGCATGTATACATTACAAATTTATGTATCTTTTACAGAAGTCCTCTTAAATCAGATTTTCCAGTCTGTGTCCTAATATTTATCTTTTCTAATTTACCTAATGCAAGAAAGGGATATGGCTCTACAGCTTTGAACAGAATAACGTGTTGATCACAGATTGCAAAATAACTATAGATTATAAAACAATTTTCAGCTACTTCCTAAATAAGCTGGCTTTCTCTTTTACAATATTAGAACCTAGGATACTCTATCAAAATGAATAAGTTGAAGATAAAGTTAAGCCGTTTAATTTGGTGCTGGTTACCAATTTAGGTGATTTTAAAGGATTTTTTTACATAAACTTGTGAATGATCTTTCTTTCCATTCTATTCAGGCATATAATACAGTATCTCCTTAAATATAGCATGTCTTTTACATATCAGATTGTGGAGAACAAATGGGAGGAGAGCTTCCATCCTATTGCTTGTGCTTTTGAATTTCCTAGATATATCTGATTGGCTGCTGAATAACATAAAAAGTTGGACTAGATTAGCAGCAGGTCTCTACATATGTGGTTCTATCAACTTCTGGGAAAAATAATTTTCACCAATATTTACAGTAAGTGGATAAGAATTGTAAGATCTAGATGTTGAAAGCAAGCAAGAGAATGGTTGAAATATCGGATTAGCATTAAGACAGTCAACGCTAAAGGTTAAAGAGATGAAGTTAAACTGGAGAACAGGTAATAAATGAATAGGATATTTTTTAAAAAAGAGAAATCTGTTGTCCCAGAGATAGGAGAAGGCAGTATAATGCAAACATGAGATGTCTGAAGAAGACAAGAGTATAGAATTTAAGAATGAGGACTAAAGAGCAAAAAGGAAGAAGAAGGAAAACCTATTTGGAGTGGAGCTGACAGTAAAATCAAAGAGAGGAAAAAAGAGGAAAAGAAAAGATTGAATGTCACATTTCCTACAGGCTCAGGATATGAATCGCTTTGCCATCAATCCATACAAGCATAAAGGAAAAGACAGCAGATGATTCATTTGATACTTAAAATATTGCTACTTTTCAGCATCATGAGTGGATACCATTCATCATATGTAAATGCTTGGCCCAATAAATGTACCGGTATTAACTTTGATCTCTGGGGTGGGGACATGAATTAATGTGATCATAAATTGATTTTCAGAGGTCTGATGTTTTCTATGGAGTGAGGTCAAGTTCTCTTTATTCAGGAAACAAAAATACAAGCAAAAAATTTCCCAGGTTGTACATGGAAAGTTTTCTCTGTGTCTTTCAGATGGCTTTTTAAGAGAGAAAAAAGAGGGTGCATTGACAACAGGAAAAAATTGTGCAGAAAAAGAAAATCATGGTTCCTGTAAACAGGAGAAAACCGAGATGGAAACTCAGGATTGTATTAATGTTAATCCAGTGATCCCAGAGTCAATAAAGTTCACTGCCCAGTAAGAGCTCTGTTCTTATTTTCAAGCATACAGTAATATGTATTAGCCATATGCCTTATAATAAGGTGACCAACCATCCTCCTTTAGGGAGGACAGTCCTCCTTTTGTAAGTTCTGTCCTCTCTCAAAAGATGTCCTCCTACATGTCCTCCTTTTTGATATTTGAAGACTAATCTGTAAATCTCTGTATTCGATCGATGCTGATCCGATCCGTTGCGTGTGATGTGATGTATTTGTATTTGACATGACAATTTGTCAAGGCTCGGTACAGTACAGTGAGATTATGAGACGCATGCACTCCGCACAGGAGAATTGTTTTGAGAGAGTGCACCGCGCGCAAGAGTGCACCGCACACAAGTGGCTTTGTTTACTTCTTACTGAAACATGACATGGCACACATGCCTGCATTAGACTCACTTTTTTTTCTTCAATTTATTTGTGTCCTCCTTCTCATTGTAAAAAAGTTGGTCACCTTACTTATAAAAGAACTCACATCAAATTTCATTTGATGTATTTTCTTGGTTTCATGAGAAATTGCTTGGGTGGGGCAGAGAAAGAATTTCACCCGTTACTTTTGAAACTCTTCTTCTCTTCTTTTTCTTATTGATATTTTGACAAGTTACCAGAGCACCAGACAACGACAGATTATTTATCGGGTAACTTCACAGCCAGACAGTTCCCTCTTGCAAGTCATAAGTGGGCCGGAAGCATCTGTGCAAGAAGAGATGTCCGTGGATGCAATGCACATCTATTCCTTCATAGATGGAAATGGTAACCTCATATGGAGGAGTTGGGAGGGATAGTTGCATTTCCTCTGGATAACTCATTTAGGTTTCTATGTGCATGGGGATTAACTTCTCAGACTCGTTATCGAATGGGTCCAGGATTCCATTGAGACATGGCAATTAGGTTTCTTTGATAGGTTTTTTTTTTAAATGTATAGATTCTATACATTTAAGGTTTGGAAGGTTAACATCAACACTTCAAATATGCCCAATAAGCAACCCAAGCATGTATATGTAAATGTGTGCATTTATTTATTTCCCACATTTATTATTTTTACAAATTCCTTCTATTTTCCCCACAACAACAACCCTTTTCATAGCCTCCTGGCACAATTCCTGACTCTTCTACCTTGTTTTGCTCCACACTGTCCACCATTTTGTCCTCTCTCCTCTCCTCTCCTCTCCTCTCCTCTCCTCTCCTCCTTCTTCCAAGCTTTCTTTTTTTCTTCTCTTTTCCTCCCTTTGCACTCTGAGTTCCAGATGCTGCAACAGCCAGCCTTGCTCTCTGCCATCCTTTCTGTTTCTCTTCCACAAATTCTCCTTTATAGCATTTGAATGTTCTGTGGGCAATAACTTCAGAGGTTTCTGCATTCTCCTTTGGCATGAATTTCAGTGCCAACAGTACTCAAGACCATCCAAATTCTAAGTTTTATACTTAGCTGCAGCACCAGTCCATACTCTCTTAATGACACATGGACTTAACTTGCTCTCTTCCCTTTAACATTTTCCCAGTTCCAGCTCAGTCTACAAACTTCTGTCCTTCTAGATTTCCCTCTCTTTCTTTCAGTGTTGCGCTCTGGAATTAAATTTTAACATCCAAATCTAAATTTTAACAAGTCTGCTAACACCCATCTTTTCAGATGCCATTGTTCTGATTTACCATGGAGGCTTTCCAAAATTATGCAGCATATAGGTGTAGATACCTGTACATAAAAAGGAAAGATGACAGGTGCCAAGTTACAAGAGGATTGTTGCCAAGGCTAGGGCTGTGGCAAGGAACACTTTAAAATGATTGTGTTGCAGCTGCAATGGTGCTGAAATCTATCTTATCAGATAGAGCTGAGAGAATGCAAGTCATTGACAAGGATACCTGAAGGTAGGATTTCTATTTCTGGCCTTCTAATTTTATAATTTCCTAGTTATAAAAGTCAGTGCATGGCAAGATCATTGCTCAACAGATTATGTCTCCTTTTATTTGAAGGAGAAATGAAGTCCTTGTACTTAAGGAGTCAAGCAGAAGGAAATATTGAAAATTCGCCCATCTATGATTACATCTCCAATCCACAGTAAGTAAACTCCTCATGCACTGGATTGGAGGATGACTTTGTTTCATTTCTGGAGTGGTTACTTAGTTTTTCAAAATTAAAGATTGGGAATATCATTTTCATGAAACATCCATATGCAAATGACAGATTCTGTTGTATAATAATTTAGATATTTTCTGCTTCAGGTTTGCATTTTCTGCAATAAATCGCAGTATTTCTCCAACTTCTAATTATAGTTGCCAATATTTGAACTTAGGACTTCTTATTTGCCAAACAGGTTATCTAGGACTCATCTACTCTATTATGAAATGGAACTGTTGAATATCTAGGATAAGAGTAAAATAAGCTTTATATTATATCCTGTAAATAATTTAACAAAGATCTTAATTTTGTGCCAATGCAACATTAGTCCTGTGGTTGCAAAGTCTTTAGGAACAAATATTTCCCCCATAATTATTCCATTACTTCATGTCAAGATACTTCAGTATATTCACATTTTATCATGAGTAGGTTAGGCAAAGGAAATAGAATTCGTTTATTGGATTTATATCTCGTGTTTCCTTCAAAGTGGCATGTATTGGCTCCCTCTTCTCATTTTCCTTTACATCAATGTCCCTGCATGATAGGTTGAACTGCGAGAACAGCTAGCCAAAAGTCTGCAGTGAGTGTTAAGAGTAGATTGAACCTGGGTCTCCAGAATGCTAGTCCAACAGGTTAACCACTATACCACACTGCTTCTCGCTTAATATTCTACATCAGTGTTTCTCAGTCTTGTCCTCTTGAAGATGTATGGATTTCAACTCCCAACATTCCCTAGCCAGCAGATGGGTGGTGAATCCTGGAAATTCCGTCTGGGGCAGTGTTTCTCAACCTTAATAATTTTAAGACATGTGGACTTCAACTCCCAGAATTCCACAGCCAGCATTGCTGGCTGTGGAATTCTGGGAGTTGAAGTCCACATGCCTTAAAATTGTCAAGGTTGAGAAACACTGGTGGGGAATTCTGAGAATTGAAGTCCACCTATCTTCAAGTTACCAAAGTTGAGAAACACTGTTATAGACCAGTCTTGCCCTCTCTGACACCTTTCAGGTATGGTTGGGACTGCCATTCCCTGAATTACTGGCTAATGTGACCTTTGTCTGAGGGCTCTGGGAACTGCAATCCCATCTGGGAGGAGAGGATTGCACAAGATCAGATCATGCCATGTAAGTCAAATAAAAAGGAAAGTAAATGCAAAAACAAAACAAAAAAAAATACACTTTGCCACATGGTGGCAGTCAATATCTTTAACAGAATAGTCAACTCTAGGCAGATGTATTATTTGGAAGATCATAGGGGGAGGGAATCTTTTATAGAACAAGGACAAAAATAGGAAGTATTTATCTTGTCTTCCTAACTTCTATTTTATTAATTTCTTTTTCATGTTAGACACACCAGATTTCAAGTAGTCTAAATGGTATTAAAAGTTGTGTTCGAGGTATAGTTGTGAGCTACAGATTTCAGTTGATTTGGAATCTTAAGCTATTCTGAAAATTGCAATAGTTAATGTAAGATACAGCTGTTTTAACAGACTAATTAGCCAGACAATCTTTCAAATTACATTCACAAAATTCCAGGATTTTTAATTTCATATGGGATGTCATAGAATACAATTCTATGTATGCTTACTCATAAATCACATTCTTTTCAATGATACTTGGGTCTTTAAAATGTTTCTCTAAAATTGCCATTATTAAAACTTCACTGTTAGTGTTAATCGAGCTGTGCTATTGCTTCCACTATTTGAATCCACTATATTAGCTAAGCTGACAATTCACATAATTTTACCAGAGCCGAATTTGAGTTGGCTTCTATGTCAGATATCCTAATTTTCAAATAAAGATTTGAAGATTACTTGTGAATAAACAATAATTATGTATATTGGTTAAGAACTCCCAATGGTTTTTAACTATATTAATTTTATTGCATTTATTGTATTAATAATTGTATACTATTATTTTATATTATTTCTATTTTTTTGTAGTTAGCCAATTTGGCACAGAAACTCACTAGAAATCAATCTTTATGTTTCATTTATGTGTAATACTAAGGCAGGGCTTGTTTGGTTTAATTATTATTTCTTTGAATGTTTGAAGCTACAGCAACCAAAAAAAAAAACAAAAAAACAGTGACATTTTGGCAGCCTATTTTAATTCTGAAAATATATTTTGAAGCAATTCTAGATTGCTCTATGATGGACTGGTATGTTGGGTCTGAAGCCAAAGGCCTGATTGATTTATGGGTCTGCTTCTATTTTACCTTGAAGCCTCTCATTAATCCCAAAGGTATAAGATAGAAGCAGTTAAAAAAATATGTCCTACTTCAACAAAATTCTCTTTCTTTGCCCATTATGATTGCTTGGTTAGGCATCTATACACCCTTCAAGTATTGATCAAACTATGAAATTATTGTTTAATCTGTTATCGAGTGTCACAGGTGTCATAAGCACTGGGACAAGAGAGCAATTTGGATTATTCTAATTTCTTCAGTCAGTTGTTGGCACATTTGTAGAAGGAATTTCAGCTCACTCATGTTGCCCTTCTGGAATTAACAAATTGGAATCAGATTTTCCCTGAATCTGTGGGGAGCCCCCAGCTAATATAGTCAGACTCTGAAGCCTCCTGTTTTTTTCCATAGATTTGGGGGTGTCTGGGTGGGTGAATGAAAAAAGTCAAGATGGCAGCTTTGATCTCATGGTTGTATCTTGACTTTTCTTTATTACCCCTGCAGATACTCCAAATTGTTATTAATTGTATAATTTTGAATAAATTCTACTCTTTTTATCTCTTTTTATTCTTTTTATCTTTATGTGCACAGTGAAATCCATTTTAGCTCCTCTAGTACAACTACCTCAGAGATCCAAGAAGCATCTTCTGGAGATCATGGGCGAAGGGCACGGCAACAGCAGTTCTTATTGATGCTGGCACGGGGAGCTCTTTCTGAAACCCACCGGGTACCATGTAACATTTCAGCACCTATACATTTTTTTTAAAAAAAAAAAACAAACACTTTGTGAATATCTTCCAGTCTAGCTATATAAACTTGCATCTTTCAAATGAGGTTGGTGTAAGCTTGTTATAGCATACAAATGGGAGAATAGCTAATGTTCCACTAAGCATCAGCTATTATACCAAATTTTATGCTGATAAAATGGGATTTTAAATTTGATTTGATGGATTTTTTTAAAGGAGCAAAAGAGTTAAAAAAAACCCAACTTTATTCTGAGAAATTTTATCTCAGTACAAATGTATGTATGTATGTATGCTTTCCCCATTTATGTTCAAATTGTAAGCAAGACTTAAACATCACACAAAGAGCAATCTTGGGGGACTTAGGTTGTTTTGTTCTAGTAGTGTATTTCAAGTGGTCAAGTAATAATCTTACAAGGCCAGTGAAAAGATCCTAGTATGTGCCATGTGCAAAATATTTAAAAAATAAGCAAGACCGAAGATAATCAAGTTTACCAAAAAAAGTTAACCTGTAAAAAAAAATTGACCATGAACATTATTTGATTATATCCACTGAAAAAGAAATAACGATCAAATTATATCAAAACCCTATTTTTATTCAAAGCAGTGCTATGAAAATGATATATAATTCTTTTATTTTTAATTTAATGTTGACAGCATTTTAGTGAAGACCTTGAGGATTCTTCATGCTCATCAGCTCAAAGAAAAATTAATAGACAGTTTTACAAATTTATTGTATTTCCTGGCAAATGGATAAAAATCTGGTATAATCGACTCACCTTGCTGACATTGCTGGACAGGTCAGTTTCACACTGAGACGTAACATTCATTGAAAGGTTGAGCTTGTACTATTAACATATACAATGTTGGCATGTTCCTTGTGGTTTTTTTATTTTTTTAAATCTCTTTTCCTAATGGCCATTAATCAGTACGAATTTCAGATTTGTAAATGTGTGTGTTTGATACACATGCTTAATACCAAAGTGAAAACTAATAGCTGTCCGCCTTCAAATGATACATAAAGTGTGACCACAGCCTTTTCTTACATTTGGACCTGCCCTACATGTAAACAAAACCAAGGATGTATGTGAATCTTAAGGCAAATGGAAGACCTAAATGGGGATCCTAACCTGTAGCAATCTTGACGGTGAAGTATACTTCTTTTCAATCTCCTCCAATAGATGTTTTTCTCTTCAATGAAGCTCAAAGAACAGGAAAGGAGAAGAAAATGTCTGCAGTGTTTCTCAATCTTGGCAACTTGAAGATGGATGGACTTCAACTCCCAGAATTCCCTAGCCAGCATAGTACAAATGTATAGCTGGCTGGGGAATTCTAGGAGTTGAAGTCCACCCATCTTCTAGTTCTCGAGGTTGAGAAACATTATTCTAAGGAAAGAAGCTGCAGGGTACTGACTAATAGTCAGGGAAAGGATTTGCTTTCCCTATTTTATACGTGATGGGACAGATCAGATTAAACAAAAAGATCTGCTTCTGTCTTATATTGTTGAAAGCTTGACCTAGTCAGAGCTCTACTTAACCCTTTATTGATCTATAACCCAACCTTTAAAGAGTTTTGCCTGAAAAAATTCACATTGATATGAAGATGCAGGTTTGTGAGTCTTAATCTTTGCCCATGCATTTCTATATTTTCTACACAACAACGCAAATAAAAAGGCGGATCTGCTAAATTACATATTGAATATTAGATGGTGCATTTTAGTGGCTCTCTTGTGTGTATTTGCATTCTGTCTGTAACCTTAGGACCTAATTCCTGATAGTTCTCTAACATTAGGAGAGACATGAGAGTGAGGGTATTTTCAATAGCTGCATATAAATTAGGGCTCCTGAACCTTGAAGAGCGGTTATCAACAAACCCCATTCTTGTTTTGCTGGTTATTAATCTGTTTTTAATCCAGGTTTTGTTTATTTATTGCACTGATGTACAACCATTTATATGCCACCGATTGTCAAGAGTCTAGATACTTAAATGTATATATAGATAAAATTTTGGTTTTAAATATTGACCCCTTTGTATTGCTTTATATCATTTTTGCAAAATTGCACTTTTAAATGTTTAAGTTTACTTACTGGTTTTGTAACAGAAAAATTTCAGTAAATACATTTATTAAGTAGTCTGTTTCAGTGATACATTTCCTGATCTCTGCAAAGAAAATGATTAAGCTAATTAATTTTTGCTAGTTGCTTTGATCTGGCAATCTTTTGCTTGTGCAAAGATATTTTTCTTACCAGTAAGGCTGTACAGAGAATGACATGCACAGAGAGACCAGGTAAAGTTGACCCCATGAGGCCATGGGGCCTTCATAGGGACACCTCGAGAAAGTGAAGTACATTTATGAGAAATTGATCTGGGCTCAATTTATAAGCCTATATAGAAATGGTAGATTTATGATTATATTCTGCTTTTGAAAATATATTGATGTGTTATTTTTACAGGACAGAAGATGTCAAGGAGAATGTTTTGGCAGTTCTTCTAGTAATCCTTGTTTCTTTTCTTGGCTTTCTAATCATGAACCAAGGTTTTTGTAAAGACATTTGGGTGCTCCTGTTCTGTCTTATTATGGCAAGCTGTCAATACTCTCTTCTAAAGGTATGTATTCTTTTATACATGTGTTTTATATTGTCAAAATGTATTGTTCTTATTATGTATTTTATTTTTGCTTTTACTGTAAACTACTTAGAGATGTATTGGCGCAGGAAGCTGTACAGAGACAAAAAGACAGTCAGATAGATAGATAGATAGACAGACAGACAGATAGATAGATGAGAAATCCATTATTTCTATTTTGGATTCTGTGATAACAAATCCAATAGCTAATACAATGAATCTTGTTTTGTCTTTAGAGTGTTCAGCCTGATCCTGCCTCACCTATACATGTAAGTTTCAGTTACCACATATATGCTTTTATTGTTGGTGCTCCTTCTTGGTCAGTTGGTGTAGTGAATTGATGAAAGTCAAAATAAATGTATCTTTCCGGGATGTTATTTCATTTTTCCATCTAGGAACCTAACACTTTATTATTAAAAATTAATCTGCTCGAACACATTGCTGCCACAAGTAAAATAGCAGAGCTTTGCATAGCATTTTAATGAGTTCTCTCCTTGCACAGCCTGTTGGTGTGAGTGAAACAATGAGGCAGCCGGGTCTTTGGCATGGTGGCTTCAGTTACTTTCTCAGATCATCACCACATACATCACACACTACCACACACTCTTTTGCTGCCCATTACACAGGTTTCTAGAAATGTAAAAAGTTATTGTTGCACTGTTAATGTACTGTAGTAAAAATAATTGTGTGATGTTAGTGGCCTTTAATTTAAATATTTATTCCATGTTAGTTGATTTATCTAGTTTATACATTATATGGCTCATAAAATTATATAAATTATATGTAATATAATCTAAAATGTGTAACAATGTATATATAAATTTTATATGTCATTGCACGCCAAAAGAAGTAGACACAAAGAAAGTTTCTCCCCATGCCATCACTCTGCTAAACAACTAATTCCCACAACACTTTCTTATGCCCTAGGATATCAAACCACCCGATAGGGCTGTATTACTATTATCCTTCTCATCTTTCTTATTACCTATTCCTTTAGCATCTTACGACTATCACTTTGTCGTTTGTATCTTATGATTTATGTTGATTGCTTTTATTTAGTATCTTATGACTATCACGAAGTGTTGTATCTTATGATTTATGATTGTATTTTATGATTATGATCATGATTTATCACTTGTTACTTGTATGTATGCACCGGAGACAAATTCCTTGTGTGTCCAATCAGACTTGGCCAGTGGTGGGATTCAGCCGGTTCACACCGGTTTGGTAGAACCGATAGCTAAATTTTGTTGAGTTTGGAGAACAGCCCATCGGAAGTGTGTGGATGTCACTTCTGGAAGTCAATTCTAGGCCTGGGAGGCCCAGGCCTGTATCCATGCAGAGAACCTGATGTTCAGGTATTTGAATCCCACCACTGGGATTCAAAGAATTTTATTCTATATACATGTATGTAATCTTAAAAGAATTACCCCAGCCTAACCCATTTTATGTTTAATACAGAAATTGTTAGACGACTGTAGCTTTAAATCTTATCTACATTTTAATTACTTTCCCCACCTCATCTTTTAGACATTAATGATTTACTGATCTTTTAATTGATCAGGTCTCTTGTAGTGATCATGTGCCACAATCTCATGTCTCCAAAAATACAGAGATTCTGAAATACATCTCTCTGAATCCTCAGGTTTATAAATATAATATTTTGTGATTATTAAAGTATAAATCTGTTTTATATTGAATCAGGCCACAGAGTCCTGGAGGACTTAATCTGCATATGCCTGTTTATTAAATCATGTCTTTTCTCATCCTTTACCAAAAACATAATGCAGTATTGCATTCATTAGCAATACTGCAAAATTTGAATCCACAGGAAGATACAAGTTTAGGCCTCAGCCCTAGTGAGGCTGCATAGTCCTAATAATTATGATATAATTTATGCCATGGTATGAATTTTGCTGTTTTATTTTTGATGCAAAAATATTTGCATTGTTCTTCTGTTTCTGATTATTTTATGTTTCTCTATAATTTATTATTTATGTCTTGCATTTCAGCTCACAGTATGTTCTTAGGCTAGTTTGCTTCAACAAAAGCATAATACTTTTAAAATTGGATCAGTTCCATAATGAACAGTGGCAGCCTATAAGCAGAAATAGATTTCAATTGAAGATATATTGGGAGCTATAATTTCCCAGGGCAGGAATATTGAAAATGTCAAAAACCAATTACTATCTAGCTCATAGAACACAGGAATTATAATGTGAAATTTCTGTTAAACTGTGGAAAAGACAAGAAAAAAGGCACCAGGTTTAAGCCTTAAAGGCTTTAGTATATGAGCAGTAATCTTAATTGTTAGAAGGCAATAAACAATTTAAAATAATTCCAGTCCTCGGGTATAGTGACGATCTCATGGTAGGCATGCCATGCCATGCCAAATTTCAGCCAAGTTTGAACCAGCTAAGGCTCTTGCTTACTGAGATCAGACTTCCCCAAATATTTTATAAGAGAAAATTTTGCGGTTTGACTAGTCTCTTGAAATCTGAATGGATTGGACTATCGTACCTTATTTGAAAGGTTGCTCTCTAAAATTTAATTTGTACTTTATTCTACTTCTTCATTTCTAGCCTAAAGTCTGTATATATGTAATCTATTTTATTTTACATTTTTATTAAAGTAGGCATGACAGGTGTTTTACTGAATTCCAAATTTCACAGAATTTCATTAGAGTGATCAGTATGAGGGTAAAAGCTGCTATGTAAACATCTAACATTCTCTGAGGTTCAACAGCTGCTGAGCATTGTTATGTCCCGAGCCTTGCAAACGGCTCGGGGCGTTTGCAGGTGGTCCCGGGCAGGTGCAAAGCTGCCCGGGACCAGACAGGCTGTCGCCAGCGCCGTGCGCATGCGCGGGTGCTGGCGCGGGAAAAGTATCGCATTGACCCGGGAAATGTCTATATAAGAAGCTGGGAGGTTTTGGGAGCTGCTGAAGCCATCTACTTGTAAGCTGAACGCAGAATAAAGAAAACTGAGAACTACAACTGCTTCTCGTGTCTTACATTTCCGCGAAGGACTCAACACTGGCGACGAGGTGGGATGCCTTACATCGCCTGGAAAGGAAGAAGTGTAAGCTTACCCAAGTGAGTCCTGAGCGGCGGAACGGTGTCGACTCGGCAGCTACTCGCCAATCCAGTGCGCATTCGGGGGTAGGCTGGCTGATAGACCCATCTCCTGAAGATGGCAAAGGTTGGAAGGCTTTCGGAGTTCGACGTCTCACATCCAGAGCGGTGGGAGTCCTACGTAGCCAGGGTGGAGAACTACTTCAAGGCAAACCAAGTGAGGGAAGAGAGCTTGAAGGCTGCCACCCTGCTTTGTGTTTGCGGTCAAGATGCCTTCGAAATCACAGAAAACCTTGCAGCACCTGTTCCAGTAGAGTCTGTCAGCTACGCAGATCTGAAGAAGCTACTGAAGGAGCACTTCCAGCCCAAGATGTCCGTCATCGCATGGTGCCACACCTTCGAGCAGAGGGATCAATGATCCGGTGAGTCGGCCAAAGAATACATCGCCGCATTAAGGAAGGCCGCCAAGCACTGCGAGTTCAAGGACCTCGAAGAACGACTGAGGGACCGATTCGTGTGCGGGTTAAGGCATCGAGATCTACAACAGAGACTTTTCGCTAAAGAAGAATTGTCCTTCCAAGATGCCTTAAGAGAAGTCACCACAGAAGAAGCAGCAGGCGGCGCCGTCAAGAACATGCGGCCGATCAGAAACAGTCCAGAGGTTGCATCCGTGCACCAGGAAGACGTCCAGGGGAACTCCGAGGAGGATCCGGACGAGGAAGTTGACCGTCTCCACCCCACGAAGGAAGGAAATCAGAAGGGAAGCTCTTCAGCTCCACTCAAGTGCATCGGCTGTGGAGGTCGCCACAGGAGAACCGACTGCAAGTTCCGCTCTGCTACCTGCCGGGCATGCGGCAAACAAGGACACATTGCAGCTGTGTGTCTGGGCCGACGAAAGGTACAACCTCAGGAAGAACTGCGCCTGAAAGGTACCAGGGTCCCCAGCCAGAATAGGGTAGGGTTTTGCGCTTCGCGAAGAAGCATCCTTAGGACAGGCACACACAAGCCCATTAAGAAAAAGCTGTCACTCAAGGTGAAGCTACAAGGGGTTCCATTAACTATGGAACTAGACACAGGGTCTGCCCTTTCAATCATCTCCTTGCATACATTTAGGAAGATTTGTTCCGGTAGTGGAACTCAGGCCAAGTTAAGGCCTTCTGACATTGTGTTAACAGATTTTCAAAATTCAAGAGTGTGTGTTAAGGGGGAGGCCACCCTTAACGTGCAATACAAGAATTTTGAAGGTCCACTAGACTTATTAGTAGTAGGGGGTGAACGAACGAGTCTCATAGGACTCGATTGGTTTGAGGCCCTGGGGATACACGTCACAGGACTCCACAGCTTACAAACACTCGACCTACAGGAAGTCTGCAAAGAATTTGCAGATGTTTTCAGCCCCCAGCTGGGCACATTCAAAGGACCCCCTGTGTCCTTAAAGCTAGACCCCACTGTCACTCCCATTAGAATTAAAGCAAGAAGGGTCCCTTTTGCTTTAAAGAGTAAAATTGACACTGAGTTAGACAAACTGATCCAACAGGGAATTCTAGAACCTGTTGATTCCAGTCCTTGGGAGACCCCCATTGTCACGCCTCTAAAGGCAAATGGGGACATTCGCATTTGTGCTGATTACAAATGCACTCTTAATAAGGCATTGCAGCAACATGCCTATCCTGTTCCTGTGGTCAGTCATATTCTGGCCTCCCTCAAGGGGGGGCGCGTTTTTGCAAAGCTTGACCTAGCTCAAGCGTATCAACAGCTGCCTGTTGATGCTGCTGCTGCTATAGCTCAGACTATTGTGACCCACAGGGGAGCCTTTAAGGTAAAAAGGCTACAGTTTGGAGTGAATGTCGCTCCTGGGATTTTCCAAAGCGTAATGGAAAACACACTACGGGGCATACCGGGGGTTTGCCCCTACTTTGATGATGTCTTAATTGCAGGAGACTCCACACACATTCTAGCTGAAAGGCTAAGGGCTGTTCTGTTAAGATTCAGGAAAACAGGCCTCAAGCTCAAAAAAGACAAATGCAAGATTGGGGTGCCTTCTACTGAATTTCTGGGGTTCAAAATTGACGCTGCTGGAATTCACCCTGCTGAATCCAAACTAACTGCTATTTTAGAAGCACCTAGGCCAGGGGTAGGCAACCCAAAACACTTAAAGAGCCACTTGGACCCGTTTCCCACCAAAAACAAAACACTGGGAGCCGCAAAACCATTTTGATATCTAAAATGAAGATAACACTGCATATATTTTTTACCTTTATTATAGGTGTGTGTGTGTTTGTGTGTGTGTGTTTGTGTGTGTGTGTGTATATATGTATATGTATGTATGTATATATATATATACACACACACACATATACACACAGGTAAAAAAAGGATATATGCAATGTTATCTTCATTTTAGATGTCAAAAGGGTCTCTCTGTCTCTCTCTCTCCCTCCCTCTCTCTCTCTGCCCTTGGTCTGCCTGCCACTCCTCTTCCCCTGCTCTCTTTCTTTCTCTCTCTCTCTTTCCTCTCTCTCTCTCTCTCTCTCTCCCTCTCTCTCCCTCTCTCTCTCTTTCTCCCCCCCTCTCCTATCTGCTGCTCACCTGACAAGCTTCAAGCTGTTGTCCAACAAGATAAGGGGTAGACAACCTCGTCTCTTTTATGACTCACGGACTTCAACTCCCAGAATTCCTGAGTCAGCCTAGCTGGGCTAGCTAGCTCTCTCCTGCCCTTCCTGCTTCCTGCAGAGACGCAGCAAAGGGAGGAGCTCCGCCCAGTAAGCTTTTCAGCTCCTCGGAAAACACTGTGAGTCCACTCTCTTTTACATACACACACACACACACACACACAAAAACACAAACACACACACAGAGAGAGAGAGAGAGAGAGAGAGAGAGAGAGAGAGAGAAGCAGGGAAGCACAATTCCTCTCTCTGTCTCTGTCTCTCTCTGCAAAGGCAGAGGAGGCTGGGAGCCGCAGGGGAAGGCTCAAAGAGCCGCATGCGGCTCCGGAGCCGCAGGTTGCAGACCTGTGACCTAGGCCAAAGTCTAAGGCCGAACTTCAGGCCTTCCTGGGCCTCCTGAATTTCTACAATTCCTTCCTTCCACATAAAGCCAGTGTGGCTGAGCCTCTTCACAGGCTACTAGACAAGCAAGCAGTGTGGCACTGGTCACAAACACATGAGGCTTGTTTTAACAAAGTCAAGGCCTTGCTCACTTCTAACAGTGTACTTGCACATTTCAACGAGTCCCTTCCTGTGTGCATCGCTTGTGATGCGTCCCCTTACGGGGTAGGAGCTGTCCTGAGCCACCTCAGGTCTGATGGAACTCAGGTTCCTGTTGCATATTACTCCAGAACATTGTCTTCTGCTGAGCGCAACTACGCTCAGATAGACAGGGAGGCTCTGGCTGTTGTTGCTGGAATTAAAAAATTCCATGATTTTCTATATGGCAGGCATTTCACGGTCTTCACTGACCATAAGCCTCTGCTGGGACTGTTTACCACACGTAAGCAGACTCCCCAGATCATTTCCCCCAGAATGCTTAGGTGGTCTATTTTTTTGTCTGCATATGATTTTTCTTTACTCCACAAGCCTGGGAAAGAAATGGGCCATGCTGATGGCCTCAGTAGATTGCCTCTGCCAGTAGTAGAAGCTGACCCTGCGCCAGCTGTCAACATTCTATCAATCCAAGCCTTGCCCGAGCTCCCTCTTAGTGCCAGGGATGTTGCCGCTGAAACAGGTACAGATCACACACTTTCACGTGTCCGTTCCTGGGTTTTGTCTGGTTGGCCTGAGCACTGCCCTAGTCCTGAGTTTCAGAGTTTCTGGTCCAAAAGGAACGAGCTGTCCCTTTCTCAGGGTTGTCTGCTTTGGGGAAACAGAGTTGTCATTCCCACCTCAATGAGGACTAGGGTCTTAGAATCCCTCCACGAGGGTCATCCTGGCATTGTTCGTATGAAGGCTCTTGCGCGCAGCCACTTGTGGTGGCCTGGTTTAGATAAAGATATTGAGGCTAAGGTGCATGCATGCCACCTGTGCCAACGATCTCGCCCAGAGATGCCCCAAGCTCCCGTGCATAGATGGGAGGAAACACAGTCCCCATGGTCTAGGGTGCACATTGACTACGCTGGGCCCTTTCAGGGCCAGTTCTTCTTGGTCCTTGTTGACAGCCATTCAAAATGGCTTGAGGTTGTACCTGTCTCATCCACCACCACTGCAAAGACTATTCAGGTACTGAGGGGGATTTTTGCTGCACACGGGCTTCCAGATGTCATTGTGTCTGACAACGGCCCTCAATTCACTTCCTCCGAATTCCAAGCTTTCTTACAGGCTAACATGATTCATCATGCCACGTCTGCACCCTTCCACCCGTCCACCAACGGTATGGCTGAACGTATGGTGCGCATCACGAAGGACGCATTGAAAAGACTCACCTACGGGGACTGGCATCACAGGTTGGCTGACTTTCTCCTTTCTTATCGCACCACACCGTCTATTTCTACAGGGAGAAACCCAGCTGAACTTCGTTGGGGGCGTCAACTTACTACTAAACTTGACCGGTTGCATCCGGACAGACTGCCTTCATCTACCTCACAACCTAGGGCACCTAGACAACTACTTGTGGGTGCCCCGGTTTGGGCTCGCAATTACGGGCCTGGTCATACATGGGTCCCCGCTTCTATTTCCAAGGTCACAGGTCCTCTCTCCTACGAGGTAGCCCTGGACAACGGTCGTGTCCTGCGTCGGCACATCGACCAACTTCGCCCTAGGCGGGACCTTTCAGATGAGACTCCTGGGTCTTTTCCAGGGGGGGAGGGGGACCCTTTGGAGCAAAGGGAAGGGCACGAGTTGCTGCCCATCTCCACTGATGGAGCCACTGACGGCCCATTTCAAGCTTCCGCAAGTGCTCCGAAAAGGAATTCATGGAGCTTACCCACACAACAGGCACTCACGCCTACTCCAGCCAGGGAGTCACCCCGGGGGCATACTCACTTTCCACACACATCACACAACACTCCAGTCACGGAGGATACCCGGGAGCATCCCAACAAATCATTCCCCGAAAGAGAGCTGGCACACAATCCCCAGAGTTGGCCTGACCTTACCCCTAATCCTACAGGGGGTCAAACTTACAGGGAGGTGGTCGAGGAACCAAGTCCCGACCGCAACACCTCTAGCCCAAATCAGGGAGTAACTGAGTTTTGGGAAGGTACAGAGACCCACACGAGCCCGGACACAGAACGGGGCTTAGGGATTGGACAGCCTCCTGACAGGTCTTGGACGGACCTAGGAGGTTCTATAGAGACGCCCAGCAGTGGCTATCACTTCAAGGGGCCCGAGGGCCTACAGCTAGGCAGGTCAACCAGGTCACAAAGTGACAGAAGCCCTGGCCTGACGAGCCCGGTGGGCGAGCAAGCAGGCCAGGCATTGGGGCAAAGTCCTTGGAAGGCACCAAGGCATGATAAGGGGAACAGGCTCTTGTCACCCCTCAGTCAGGGAACACCTGTCAGAAACCCAGAGCTGAGAAGGTCACAGAGAGCAAGGAAGTCTCCTAAATACTTAGAGGATTACATAACATTGCTGGCTAAACAAAAGCCAGGTAACGGTAGGAGCACTGAGAAGCAGAACACTGTATAAAATAATGATTATATGTTGGTAGTAGTTTTAGCCCGGGGGAAAGGGGTGTTATGTCCCGAGCCTTGCAAATGGCTCGGGGCGTTTGCAGGCGGTCCCGGGCAGGTGCAAAGCTGCCCGGGACCAGACAGGCTGTCGCCAGCACCGTGCGCATGCGCGGGTGCTGGCGCGGGAAAAGTATCGCATTGACCCGGGAAATGTCTATATAAGAAGCTGAGAGGTTTTGGGAGCTGCTGAAGCCATCTACTTGTAAGCTGAACGCAGAATAAAGAAAACTGAGAACTACAACTGCTTCTCGTGTCTTACATTTCCGCGAAGGACTCAACAAGCATCATGCCAAAAAGCTATTAAAATGGAAGGACAGGAGAAAGAAACCTAAATGTTTAAACCCCTAATGGGCTATAAAAGTATTGAAATCTCACTGGTAGCAGGCAATGAACTGTGGTATGTGATTTCATTCTTGTCAACAGTAAAAAATTCTAATCTAACCAAAACATTTTTGAATCTTCTGTTGAGCTGAACTGAGGAACTAATTAAGCTATGCAGAGTTAACAGGCCTACAATTCACAACTGAATTCTGGTCAGGGAATTTTGACAAGGGTAACCTGATGCTTATGCAAGAAAACACAATTGCAAGGAAGTGATTTTCTTCACCTTTGTGGCCTTCAGCATTAAAGTCTAGTGAGCAAGGCTTTCAGGTAATAGAGGAACTATATTTAATTTGTTTTGTTTGTTTTTAATACAGGCAGATCTCCCGAATGTTGGAAAATAGAGTTAATGTGCAACTATTTCATAGTACAAACAGATTTTTATAGTATCAGACATCAGAGGCTCCAGGGAGAAAATTCACACCATAGTATTTTCCCTTATTGGCCTTTTGAACTTTCCAGTAATTAGGTCATTTCCACCACTTCCCAACATTTTCTGACATTACTAAGCTATTTAAAAAGAGCTGCTAAGAATAATGTCATAAGAATCTCCAGATTATTTTTTTTATCACTACATATGTGATTTTTAACAGTTAAGATATAGCTTATCTAGCAGGCCTTGGGCCATGGGGTTTTATGAACCCACTAATAAATGTTTGTATTTCCTGGATGGTTGCTTGCTATTTGATACTTCTACTTCTGTACTGTGTCTTGAATCACTTGATGATTAAACAACCTTACAAATCCAATAAACAATATTAAAACTTAACAGTGAATTCTGATCAGAGTGTAGGTTCAGTGTTCTACTATAACCTGCATTGTATAGATGGCTATCAAAATCTTGATGTGGAGGGCTTATTTGGATTTTAAAATGAAATGAGTTTCTAATATCTATTTTGTGGGATATGTGATGTCTATGTAAGCACTGAAACTTCTTGAGTTTGTGCAGTGTTAGTTATGCATTTGAAATAATTTTATGTTGATATGAAATATGTTTTTCTGTTAACTTGCTTTTCTAGGGCCACAACCAGGTGATAATATACAGCCGGCCTATATATTTTAGCATATTGTGTGGCCTTATTCTATTGCTAGATGCAGGATCTAAAACCAGAAATTCCTTCATTTATACAGTTTATGACCTGAAGATATCACCTGAATCATTTCAGGTAATCAGGGACCATGTAATAGGTGAGTTACTTGTACAAAAATACAAATAGTTCTCCAAATATTCTTATTTTGCTAAGTACCCATTCTTCTCTTTCAACTTGCAAATACGGTGGGGGGGGGAGGAGAAATTAGGGGAAAAATGTTGTAATAATAAGTAATGATTTCTTAGTGCATGGTTATGATGTTTCTGGAGTAGCTATCTGAAATCTGTTATTTAAGATAATTAACAGACATTTCTGCATCACAAAATTTCCTGACACCCGTATCCAAGGTTAAACCCACAAATTGCAGGATATAAAAAAATAACCTTGTTGCCAGGTATGTTTGGCAAAACTTTTTATGTTTCTGCATCACTTTGGAAGGTAGATCTGAACACAGCACAAAGGTCTTTACCTCACATGCCAAGTCTGTTACAATTCTAGCTGCTTGTAGTTTTTATCTAAATCTGATCAAGAGCAACAAGATTAAGAGATTGTGAGGGTCTCTGAAGCTATGCCACAGTCAATTAAGTTATTTGAAACAAAAGCATTGTGTAATAGCCGCTATTAAAGCTCCTTTATGCTCCAGAGAAATAAGTTCAAGAGAAGCAGAATTTTTTGTGGCTTGCCTGATCTTTGATACAGTTTATGATTTATTTATTTTTTTGGTGAGTCACCAATTCTTTATTTGCTGTTATGTCTTGAGCGGTTAAAATTTCATGCCTGCTTCAAGGTTAGATTCCTGTTCTTTTAATTTCTTAATTCTGTGTTTTATCAACTGCTTTGCTTTGGCTTATTCTGAAAGATAATGATTTATGGCTTATAGGATGGCTTGGATCCCAAAATTTCTAATATATCAAATGGTAAGATCAGATTGAATTTCTGGGGTAAGGAATGGAGGATCATTTTTCATCTGAGGCCTGAGTGGTGGGAAGACAGAGCTGTCCAGGGAAAGGGGGGTGAGCGAGACGATGCTCCCTGAATTATGAAGGATTGTTATTTTTCAAAAATACAAGAAGCATCGAGGACCATTTTCTGTGTACCAGCTGTCTTCAAGCACTTTCCATAATGTTTGTTTTTGCAACTATCGGTGAGGAGAGAAATGAACTACTTCTTTACACATCTCTGCTGTACCACAGATTTAATCCCTAAAGTTCATGGAGAAGGTTTTACCTCCTCTCCCTTCTTTCTACATGTGCACAGTTTGGGATGGAGAGAAAGTGAAATGTCTGTAACCTTGGCATGTCCTTACCAGGAATTCCTTTTGACATCATTTTTGTTTCTTTTTTCCTCTTGACATTTTGTTTAAGCACGTACCTATTTTTGAATTTATGACTATAAATTGTTGTTGCCAGAATCAATGTCTGTCTGTCCGTCTGTTGGTCTAGCTATCTAGCTATCATTAATATTCTGACATTCTCCTTGTACACTGAGATTGTAACTCTTAGAATTTGTTTCCTGTATGGAGTCCAAAATTTTGGGTGGGTGCCAAATTAAAAGAACTGGCACTAGCCTCTTCTTTGTTAACAATCAACTCTTTATTTTCAGGTCAAATTTGCTCCCCCCCTTTTTAAAAAAAAATAAATTTAATTTCTCATTCTAATGATTGGACAAATGGTTCCCTTATTGCTGAGGAATGGGCTTTTGACACTAGCAGATGTATTTGAGTTATTTCTCATGGTTGCCTGGTAACATGCTGATTTAGCCAGCATACCACTCCTTGGTTAGTGTTCGAAGAAATCTTCATGTGAACTGAATTCCAGAAAACATTGGGGTGGACCTACAGCACACTAGTGGAGTGTTGTTCCCTAAAATTAATCGGTTGTAAGCCAAGACTAACTCATCTTTTTGAACTCTGGATCCAATCTTACAGCTTTCTGCTGTTGTTGAACAAAACTAGGGCGGATGGACATTCCCCTGATGAAAAATATTTCATAGGATCTTGAATTAATGAGTATGAATTTCTGTCCAATATTGAAGTTGTAATTTTTCTTTTATGTGACCCCCATCTCTCTGTTCTTTCCATTCAGAACCTCATTCTATGAGGATTCTGGCTCCTTCTTGAGTGGAATATGTTGATATCACCACTGAAAAATAAAGCAGAAAGGGTATCACTTATTTACATTAGTTTTTCTCCCTAAATAGGCCCTGGGAAAAGGTCAGTGGGGAAAGACTTTGGAGTGCAATAACCACCACTGATAAAAAAGTTTGTGTAATGGTTTGGTCCAGTAAAGATTCTTGAAGGTAGCAGACTTAGTCAAAGTCCGCTTTGACTCAGAACAGCAACACCTCAATTTAAGACACTTTGATTTAGTAGACTTAGGCTGCAGCAGGCAAAAGGTGTCCATGCATGGTTTGTTTTTCTGCAGATATAAAATCCTGTTTGCCATTTTACATTTTTATAAAATTCCATTCATCATGTAGATGACTGTAGAATATGCAGAATATTTTGCACATGTGGAGAAACTAATTCAAATTTAACACACAGATTATCCTATCTGTATAATAGGATATCTCTTCCCCCATTTACATAAAGAGATTGATTTTTGGTATAGATAAATAATTAATCATAAATGATGTTTGTGAAGAAAAGGTGTAGAATTGAATCCCAGTATATAGGCAGGATTTGTCACTCAAGCTGATTTTCACACCAAAACATCTGTATTCTTCCTTTGTGAGGTACTTAATATCTTCCATTATTTTTTAAAAAATATGTGTACTGTTTTATATTATGAATCTCTCCAAAAATAAATAGCTTATATGGCTTTTCCCCCCTCAAAAATTACTAGTGCTGCCCTAAGCCATACTTCAACATAGAAGGAACTGTTTACAGAACTGCTTAGTACTGTAACTGTGTGCTGCATAGCCCATATATAGTAAAGCACAAAAATACACATACTATTTTGAAAACTTACTGCAGTAATCACAGGCTGGATGGTGCTTTCTAACGTATTGGAATAAAAATATTCCAGCTTGTAACATATGGTTGTTTGTAGGCCAGAAATGGAACAAACAATCTGGGAGAACTTTGAAACACAAATTTGTACAGGTTCCCAATGGTCCTATCAACATAGCTCTCTGATTGCCTTTCTTTCAGAAGAAGGAGCCTGACAGGAGCCATCTTTCCTCCATCAGATCATTTCTTGGCAATTTTAGTTACCACTATGTTTCATTTTTAGTAATATTAAACAATTATGAATATATATTAATATATAACTATGTAATAGAAGGGACATCGATTACCTATATAAATATATAAAGCATTCTTCTTGTATAAATTTTTTGGATCCAACCAAATCTCCTTTCCCTCCTTATCTTTGCTCCTTCTCTTTCCTTGTCTAATTTCAGGATTTTTATATTGCTTTCCTGTGATTTCTCTTCTTGGTCTTTTCCCACAAATCAACACATTCTGTATATATCTCCTTGAACAGATAGATATACTGGTGTTTGGTGGTTCTGGTAAGTACTATATATATGGTTTTATGTATAATATCCAGAACTGGTTGAATTTAGGTGAGAGCTTTGATAGTTGCGATTCTTTTTCACTTCAGACTGATAATCTACCTCTCCTAAATTTCCAATACAATTGGAACCATGCATCTTTTAGAAATTGATCACGTGCAAAGTCTCACTAGTAGTTCATCTCTACTAAATGCTTACAGTAAATCACTTTTAATTCATTGGTGAATTCTGGACCATAATGAAGATGGTTGTCTCAGCCCAGGACCTTTTGCTCTCGTAGGAAGCTACATGACCTAAGAGTTGTGCTTTGGCAGACTCATTGACATTGCAGTGTACCTCAGAATGCATGAGGCTCCATTGTTCTTCCAAAATGTACATTAACTTTTCAAAACATATTCACAGAATTAGAATTTAAAATAAGGAAAAACTGCATTGCCCAGCAATGCTAGGGCTGGCAGCTAGACTGCTTTCTAATGATGGAAAACGTAAGCTAGGTGGTGGTCACTAGTGTCATTAAGCAAATTGGAACATAAAGAAGTGCAGCATTTGGGCAATTGAGATATGGGAGCTAACTTCCAATAGCACACCCTTACTCTCAACCTGAAAATGACAAAATGTGCAAGATAGTATCACACCTATAAATGCCACCCCTTTGTATTTGCATTGCAATTTCATATTCAAGTTTATTCAAGGATGGAGTTTACATTGTGATGCATATTTCATTACTCCATCTCTTTCTTACCAAGTTTAAAATGCAATTTCAAATCAAAAACACCTGCAGTTTAGGCCACTAATGTTTAGAATAAAATGTTCTGGTTTTAGTATGATACTTTATTTTCTCAAGATTCTTGCATTCGGCATTCAATTACATTGAGTAGGTAGATACCTTACTGCTTGCTAATTTTTCTATAGCATGTGGCAACTGTCAAGTTAGAGTTCCTTGAAGTTAATCAATTCCTCTGGCAACATGTATTTTATTGGGTCTCAATGCAAGTGTAGCATTTGTGGTTTGTTTAACTTGTGTTTTGAGACTGTTTCTGGGTCCAGTAATTTATCTGATTGAATGACCGAAATTATTTTAACACATCCAGGCAAAAAGACCTTTCTGATAATAGGCAGGAGCTTTTACCATTTTGATTTATATTATCTTATAGTAGTTACATCCAGATGCAAAGAAATAAATGTTGGTTCTGTATTTCAGCTGTTGCTGGACTGTACTCTTCATTCTACAGTATTTGTCGAAGCTTTATTGCTGTAATTGTCCTGTACACATTCTGCTTCAATGCAGTTAAGGTAAGGAGGAGCAATTCTGACAGCAAAATAGGCTAGGGTTGCTTGTGACTATGATATTGTTTTCTCCATTTTTTCCATATCTAGAACCTGTATGAATATAATTCTAGTTTGCATTATTTTTCCATCCTCATAAGAGAAGGTCTGCCCTGGAGAATGGGGAGGAAGTAGATAGAAAGGTTTGTTGTGAACATTATATCTTAGGCATAATTTTAGCTGCAAATGAGAAATATTTTTCATTGTTCACCATATATTGATGAATGAATAGATAGATAGATAGATAGATAGATAGATAGATAGATAGATAGATAGATAGATAGATAGATAGATAGATAGATAGAGGGATGGGTGGTTAGTCACTTTAGGTGGAGTACATATTAATACTGTAATGATTAAAACAAGGAAAAAAGTATATAAATCCAGATAAAGCAATCCTTCAGACTGATAAAATCTTATAAGAGATGTAATCCAAAGCATGGAGGGAAAAGCCAAGCTTTCAAATATTCTTTATTTTATTTATTAATCAAATTTGAGTAGCTGCCCATCTCACCAAAATGGACTCCGGGTGGCTCAAAACATTGAATAAAAACCACAAATATAAAAATGGCATATATAAAATGTAAAAATCTACCTTGAGTAGTAGATAGTATTTTTAAAAAATGACTATACAAATCCCCAGGTGAAGAGAGTATAAAAATGGCCACCTGAATGATGGAGCCATCTGATCATATCTCTAGTTCCCTGGGAACCCCAGACCTGATGACATAGCCAGGTTTTGAGGGCCTTCCAGAATGCCAAAAGTGATGGAGATAATGTAATTGGATGGGGGCGGAGAGAATGTTCTATAAGGTGGGCATCACAGCAGAGAAAACACATATTCTGGGACCCACCAAATGTACATCCCTAGCTGATGGTATCCACAGCATGCCTTCTCTGCCCAGTGTCTAATAGGGGGGCTGAAATAATTATTATCGTCCATAATCTTAAACATCATCAGTGTGGGAGCCCTACAGATTGCTCTTTCTGCTGCGTATAAACTAAGCTTTAGTTTCTTGTTAAGTTAGGGGAAAGGAAAATGAAAAGAGGGAAAAGCTGGAATTTTTTTTAATGATATTATAGATGGGAGAATGTGAATTTAATGGAAACTCATTTATATAGTTGGTGTTCTCTGTGGGTTGATTGAACGTTCAAAGTCTCTTCGGTAAAAGGTATTAAGGGCAATCCTTTTAAACATGTCCTGTCATTTGCACATCTTTCTGCAGGCTAATAAGCTAAATTACAGCAGGCAGGTGGTTTTGCAGATAAGCAATCTTGCTCATAGCCTGGGCTTCGTAGAGCTTTGAAATATGCTTATAATGCTGCTACCCTGAAGTTAGAGAATGCGGCAAAAGATATACAAGATATTTGCTGCAAATTACATACATCAACTGTAGACCTTCCATTTATACAGGAAAATTACGTATAATTTGAATTTTTATTGCTTTTTCATTTTTTGAAGATATTTGTAAGCAGGATAATTGTTTGCTCCAAAATGATATTATGCATTTCATATCCTGACCCCAGTGTAGTCTAATGTTGGCATTTACATGTTCTTTTATAAAAGACGTCTACCTGATTTTTTAAAAGCGTGACCTTAAATGTTGAACGGGTGGATGGATTGCAATTCAGGATTTACTTGCCATTAACTGATACTTGCTGCCAGTTCAGACAATGCTGAAGCTGCCTGTATTCCATCCAGACACAAGAAAGAGCACGAATGTGTTTTCTTTCCGGAGATGTGTTTATACTTGAGACCAGTGTTTCTCAAACTTGGCCACTTTAAGATTTGTGGATTTCAGTTCCCAGAGTTCTTCAGCGGCAAGCTTGTTGGGGAATTCTGGGAGTTGAAGTCCACAGATCTTAAAATTTTCTAAGGTTGAGAAACACTAATCTAGACCATTATATTGTGCTAGTATGTGAACACAACCCTTATGGTTTGTAAATCATATTTTATGAATTAATGTGATCGGTAAACTTTCTTCGGGGGCAGGAAGAGGAATGCCTGTGAAGTATGGTCATTTCTGACAAAATAGGAAAGCAACCATTTCACCAGCATTTTTCATTTTGAGGGGCTGTGGAACTTTCATCATTCTTCAACCATAACTATCCTACTTTTAATACTTATACCAAAGTTCTATGTACCGTAAATGCCGGCGTATAAGGCGACTTCTGCGAGCGCTGAAATCGGCGCCAAAGACGGGGGTCGTCTTATACGCCGAGTCGTCTTATACGCCGGAAATACTGGTAGTTTCCGGCGTATAAGACGACGTTCTAGGAATGCGGCCCGGCTATAAAGACGGGGGTCGTCTTATACGCCGGGTCGCCTTGTACGCCGGCATTTACGGTATTTTCTCCTCTGGAATGGAGAAATCCCCTGGATTTTAACAATTAGACTGTTGGATTTTGTTGAGTAGTCAGAGTGTTTCAAAATAAAAATGTTTTTTAGAAGGCGAAGACATCCTGAAGCAGTACATTGTCTATGCTTGCTAAAATCTAATGCAGGTGTCACAGAAAAATGAAATTGCCTTAATAATAATAAATAATAATAAAGTTGGAAGGGACCTTGGAGGTCATCTGGTCCAACCCCCTGTTCAGGCAGGAAACCTTATACCATTTCAGACAAAAAAAGTAAGATAACTTTGGAAGACAGAAAGGTAACATTTTTCATTCAAAATAACATTCATCTCCTTATGAAATGTAAAATCAAATAGTTTTAAAGCTGGCCAAGTAGCATTCTCTACTTCAAACCAAGCTGAAATACTGCCCAGGAATATGTAGTATTTTTAAATCAGAGATAGGAAGTTTGGAGAGAGCTTACTTTTATATTGCTCATTTGTTGACTAATGAGATATTGATTGATGCTCAACTTTCTTAAATAATAGGAGATAAATTGCTGAAAGAGGGTTTTTTATTATTATTATTTTCTCTACCACTTTCTGTACAGCAACTCTGTTCCAGAATATCTTCCTAGCAAGTTCTCTCTTAGATTCAACCTATAAATTTTTATTTTGCACTTTCAAATGTATTCATAAGTATGTTTTTTTTTATTGAAAAATTTTTAAAAGTTTTACAAAAAACAAAAAAAACAACAAAAAATAAAACAACCCTCCCCCAAACCCTCCCAAACCACCCCCCTCCATCCCCCCCGAGCTTCCCAGAGCTGAATATAGGCTTAATTAAAATTTTAAAAATTCTAAAAAAAATTAATCAACTTATAAGGTAATTAACAATAAAATATATATAACAATAAAAACATATACATTAAAAAATACTTAGAAAAGAAAGAAAAAGAAAGAAAAAAAGAAATAAAGCAAAAGAAAAGAAAGAAAGAATACAATCTATAAAATATCAAATTTAAATACAAGTTATGAAAAAACTAAATGGTATTTTTTTATAGCCAATTTATATTGTATGAAATTTATCCATTTTTCCCATATGGCAAAAAATTTTCTCTTGTGATTGCTCCTTTAAAAAAGCCGAAATCTTTGTCCATAAGTATGTTTTTTGAAGAGCAAGGAAAAGTGCTTTTTCATTTGCTCTTCAAAAAACATATTTATGTAATTTAAAAATTAATGTAATTTAAATATATTTATTTATTTAAACATAATGTATGTAATTTAAAAAGGTACATGAGGAGAAAAAAATGCCTCTCATGATTTTCCTTGCTTCTTTTACTTAATTGCCAGTTTTAAAGGTATTGTGGTTTACATAATTAGATACCATGCCTGAAATATCACAACTTCAGTAGCCTGAAGAAATATAACATGGCTTATTTAATATAGGAAGCAGCCATTTAATTACTGTGAATTCCAGCATGTTAACGATATTTAACTTATTTCTGTAGTAACTTTAAATACACAATGTAAAGACTTCATATTCCTTCCATCTCTGTCTCCTCTTTATCTATAGGAACCATGGGATGCTCAACATATTCCTGCACTGTTCTCTGCCTTTTGTGGACTTTTAGTGGCACTTTCTTATCATCTGAGCAGGCACAGCAGTGATCCATCTGTCTTAGTGTAAGTCATCATCAGTGCTTTTTCATCTCTGTTACTATGGCTTAAACTATAGAACTACATAATATTATTATTATACAAATTTATATGGTCACCCATCGTAATCAAATAACTTTGGGCAGCTAATAAACAAAAAAAGAGGAAAGGAAAAAGAGAACATACATATAAAAGGAAGATCCATAGGACATGGAACATACACATACAAGGGAATATTTATTTTTATTTATTTGTATCCTGCCTTTGTTATTTTTACAAATAACTCAAGATGGAGAACATATCCAACACACCTTCCTCCTGAGCTAAGCTGAGAGAGTGACTGGCTCAAGATCACTCCGCTGGCTTTCAAGGCTAAAGCGGAACTAGAACTCACATTCTCTTGCTTTCTAGTCTGGCGCCTTAACCACTAAACCAAACTTGTTGTTAGTTGCGAAGTCATGTCCGACCCATCGCAACCCTATGGACAACATTCCTCCTGGCCTTCCTGTCCTCTATGGACAGTACCATGGACAGTACCAAAAGGAAAAAAAAACAACAACCCCAAACTACTTCTCCTATATACATACATACATACATACATACATACATACATACATACATACATACATACGGAATAGGAAAGGTTAGCAGGGGTCAGGGCCATGTTAAACCTCAGGGAGAAAGCTGTTCTAGAGGGCAGACATGTGACAGGAAAAGCCATATCTTGAAAGTTTCATAAGATGATACTCTTCGACAGAATGGACCTGAAGCATGCCTAACCTGTGAATCTAAAGGGATGGGCAGAAACTATCAGAGACTGGTATTCTCTTAAGTATCCTGACTCCATTACTATGATCAGCTTTACTGAGGATATCCAGGATCTTGAATTGCAGCCAGAAACCTACTGGAAGCACTGCTTACTATAGTATGCATTGCTTATATAGCAGTGATGTCATATGAGTGTACTATTGTGTACCCAAAACTGTTTATGCCATTACATTCTGGATCAGCTGGAGTTTCTGAATGCTCTTCTTGTGCCCAGGAAGTTCCTCGGGCTATATGCCAATTAGGTCTGGAAGAACAATGCCCCTTCCTAAAATTAATTATGAAAGTTTTCCAGATATGGAGTAGGAGGCCTGTGAACTTAACAGCTGTTTAGAGTTACAGGGATGGAATCAGAGCTTGTTCCTTCACCTCCAGACCCAAGACATCTATTAAGTGACTGGTACCAATCTCTTGTGTTGGTAAATTCTTACTTAAATAAGCTAGGAGAAAAAAATAGTATGTCTACTGTCTAGGATTGTTTTCTTTTCAGGAGATTGATGTTCTAACTGATTTTTGTTTGTTTTCTAAATTAGGTCTCTTATTCACTGTAAATATTTTCCTCACCTTGTAAAGCAACATTTTGAAGAACCACAAGTTGATCCACTCCCTGAGAAAATGAGAGAATCAGTGGTAGGCTTTCTTGTTCTGGAAAAACAAGTCTTATTAAGACCTTTGTGATGGTATCATTTGAAATATTAGAGCTGTTGTATGATAGAATAGAATAGAATAGAATAGAATAGAATAGAATAGAATAGAATAGAATAGAATAGAATAGAATAGAATAGAATAGAATTGGAAGGGACCTTGGAGGTCTTCTAGTCCATCCCCCTGCTCAAGCAGGAGAACCTATACCATCTCAGACAAGTGACTGTCTAGCCTCTTCTTAAAAATCTCCAGTGATGGAGTGCCCACGATTTCTGGAGGCAAGCTGTTCCACTGGTTAATTGTCCTCACTGTCAGGAAGTTTCTCCTTAATTCCAGGTTGCTCCTCTCTTTGATCAGTTTCCAACCATTGTTTCTTGTCCTGCCCTCTGGTGCTTTGATGAATAACGTAACCCCCTCTTCTTTGTGGCAGCCCCTCAAATACTGGAATACTGCTATCATGTCACCCCTGTTTCTTCTTTTCTTTAGACTAGCCAAACCCAAGTCCTGCAGCCGTTCTTCATATGTTTTAGTTTCCAGGCCTTTGATATTATATTAAATTGCTTAAATCTCTTTACAATAGAGCTGTAAACTGTTCCAGATGGATTCTTTGTTGAATGACAGAAGAAGGACAATATCAGGGACTTGTTGCACTTCTTCCTTTTTCTCAGCTTTACCCCCACTCCAGCTTATATAAAAAAAGTAACTGGAATTCTTTACTGTTTTAAGATGCTTCCTATTTTGTTGTTTATTTCCTCAAATTGGATACAGGTAGTCCTTGACTTACAGCAGTTGATTTAGTGACTGTTCAAAGTTACAACAGCACTGAAAAAAGTGAGCTATGACCACTTTTCACATTTACGACCATGGCAGCGTCCCCATGTGTCACCTGATTCAAAATTCAGATGCTTGGCAGCTGGTTCATATTTGTGACAGTTGCCGTGTCCATGTGATCAGCTTTTGCGATCTTCTGACAAGCAAAGTCAAAGGCGAAGCCAAATTCACTTAACAACCATGTTACTAATTTAACCACAGTGATTCACTTAACAGCTGTGGCAAGAAAGGTCATAAAATAGGGCAGAATGCACTTAACAAATGCCTCACTTAGCAACATAAATTTTGGGCTCAATTGTGGTCGTATGTTGAGGACTACCTGTACTATACTTTTTTTTTTTTTTTTGCCTTTGACTCAAAATTTACATCTGGCAATTACATGAATAAGTCCTTGCAACTTTCTAGGCAGTATTTTCAGAAATGGTTTGTCACTGCCTTCTCCCTAGTCCTGAGAAGGAGTCAGAGCCTTAGGATCAGCCAGATGATTTTATGCCCAAGGCAGGATTACAATTCAGATTTTGCCTGTACTGATTCCAGCATCTTAATCACGCAACTGAAGTGGCCCTCATGCTGCTTAATAGCCTCAGTTAGTAGTAATAAAACCAGCTGCAATACAAAAACAGCCTTTGAGGGAGTAGACACACTTCTCGGCTTTTGGAACTGCTTGGTAAATGCAGAATGCAGAAATCCAGTTAAATCTTGAATCCATTTGGGTGCATTCATGTAGAAAGGTTTTTTTTTTATGCAATTGGAATTTGGTGTGATTTGCAGTTGTGTGTTATCCCCAAAAAGCTTATGCTTTTTGACAACATTTATTAGTTGGGGAAGGTGCACCTAGACTCCTCCTCCACCAGATGAGCTTCTCATGGCGTGACAAGTGAGCCACATGACCAATTGACCACATAACCTATAAAAGCAGAAGAGAACTGAAACAAGACACTTCAATCGAAACTCCACTGATGCTGTTACATAGCTGGTGGACAAAACATTCAGAAACTAAACAACAAGCTCGGAGAACAAACCACCAACATCTACCACTCAAGCTACAAATCCTTTCCACCATTTCTAACAGAACATTGTACTATATGAGAACTAATACAGAGAAGCCCTGCTTTGTCATCCACGCTTCTCTTATTTCACAGTGGAGCAGAACTTTGAGCCAACGATGGGAGTGGGGGGGTGTAATAGTTTGTACAATTTTAGAGACACACTGTACGCTACTTTTTCCATGTGAACATTAGTAACCATTCTCTAGCAAATATGAACAGTTTAGGACAGTGGTTCTCAACCTTTTTATACGGCGACCATGGTATTAAGCAGGCGGCGCGCATGCGCGGTGCCGCCCCCTGTGCGGTGCGCATGCGTGGTGCTCCCCTGCGTGGCACACATGCGTGGTGCCCCCCTGTGTGGCACGCATGCGCGGCGGCGCCCCCATGTACTGCCCCTGCGTGGTGGCGCATGCGTGGCGCCACCCCCATGAGCCACCAGCGCAGCGCGCAGGCACGACGGCACCCTCTGCGCTGCGCGCAGGCGCGGCGGCGGCCTCATGCGCCGCCCCAGAAAAAAAATGGCGGATCGCATTGTTTGGCGACCCCCGTGAAATGGTCGTTCGACCCCAAATGGGGTTGCGACCCACAGGTTGAGAACCGCTGGTTTAGGATATAAGAGAATGGTTAGTTTCAATACTTTTAAAATTCAAAGCAATTACGGCAGGCTTTTGATCTTCTTTAGCCCAGCAGTGCTAGCAGAGACAGTAGGATGCTGGAGTCACTCATGCTGGCTTGTGAGAATAAATTGTTAAATTTTAGGGAACTTAGTCAAGAGCAGACTTCACATCTAGCACATCAGCCAGCTGTTCAGCAGCTAAGGATGCATTGCAGCAGTAACAATGGAGCTGGCAGAGCAGATGGTGGGGCTATTGCTATAGTTGGATTCAAAGATATAAAGGAACTTTGGGTGCATGTAGCTAGAACCTCTCTGGAATTTCTTAAGGCAGCTGAATCCTTTCCTGAGATAGTCAAGCTAGACTCCACAAGTGCTGCGTCATTCCTTGGAAGCGCATCCCAGTTCGATTTGGGAAGGAAAAAAAATCACTGGGCACGCCAACACCAGTCACACACGTGAATTTATTGAAGCCTGGTATTCTCCAAAGGAGCAATTAACAAGCATATTGATCTAGATCCAGCATATGAATATGTAAGAAACCAGATCATTCAAAAGACCAATCAACAAGAGAACCAATCAGCGGTTCAGAATTTAAATATAGCTCCAAATGAACAACCAATCACACAACCAACTGACCACGCAAGACATTTATGAGCTAAGGAAAATAGGACAAGAAAATCTTGTTGATGATGTTATCTAGTCTGGTAAGGAAAGGTTCGGAAACTAAACTGAAACAAACTTGGAGAGCAAACCACTGCCAAAATTGTTGATTAGTACTATGCTTCCTGGCCTGCAGCTTTGAAGTGTCTTTTTGCCTTCAAGTGTCATACAGCAAAGTGTTATCTAGCAAAGATAAATTAATCCTTTCTCTCCACATTGCTTGCACTGAGTTGTTCTTGCAGAGATTTTGGTGATTCTTTAGGGAATTATAGAAGACAGTTATAAGACACATAGTTTTATTTGTATTGAAGAGGGATAATAATTCAGTTTCACTCCCCTTCCAGTCAGGAAAGCAGTTTTTGAGACATTTGCTGTGTATAAAGTTAAGATCAGGGGGCCAAATTCATAATCACATTAGAAATTGTTCAAAGTGTTTTGTTGAGAAAATTATCTGCTCTGTATCCATATTTACCAAGGAAAGTGGGTATTATTGGCAAAGTGTTCACCGTGCTTATGTAAAGAATTCAGAATATAAGAAAATATGAACAGCGCCTGTTTCCTTCCTTCCTTCCTTCCTTCCTTCCTTCCTTCCTTCCTTCCTTTCTTCCTTCCCAGCAAAGAATTAATTCATTTTTGCCTTACAATAACCCTCAGTCATACCAATTATATGGCCATTAGGAACATGTTGGTTGTATCTGAAAGTGAAATCAATTCTTCCCAGTCTGAGTGCATTAAAGATTGTTCCTGTATAATCTTCTTTTTTTAAAAAAATTGTCCTTGTGGAGAGGGTGTGCTTGATAAACCATGTATCTGGATTCAAGAAGCTTTGCCAACACATTGGCCTGAACATTAAACAAGTACAAGGGGAGGGGATTCTTTAAAGCCAAGACTCCTGTAATTATTATGCAACTATTAACTGCAGAGGAAGAAGTAGTTTGATTTTGTAAATCAAATGAGTCTTTACTTGTATTTCTATATTTTAAAAATTGTATTTGCAGAGGGAAACCTTGAGATCAGATCTCATCGTGTGCTCTGTGGCTGCTGTGCTCTCCTTTGCAGTCAGCGCCAGTACCGTTTTCTTATCATTAGGGGTTAGTATTACCATTTCTTTCCTTCTGTGTTGTTATTTCTTTAAGACAATATATCTGTTATTCCGAGCAATTAGATACTGTTTCAGATTGCTTTAAAAATCAGAGGAGGGAAAGAAATATTTGCTTGTAAGAGGGAATCGGTAATGAGGTTTCATATCGTTTCACACATTAAGAGTCTAGTTACAAATATATAGCAATTATAGCATAATGGCACTAAGAGATCCGTGGCAGCAGTAACAAATCCTTTGGCATCAACAGGGCTGAGGTAATGTTATGTTTGGGAATATGTATGAACATTCTGAATGTTGAGGAAAATGGTCAACTCTGAGACATTCAGAGCTGTCCTACTTTGCGGCATTGAAATGGAAAGTCAGTTTGGCAGGGGGAAAAAACAACTTGAAAAGGAGAGGGCTAATAGTGGGGACTGAGTGAAGCAGGATCCAAGAAAAAAAAGTAGGTCATCTCTGGGTGGGGTCTGCAGAATATTTTAAATTTGGAATGTTTTGAATTTAAAATGCTGGTTTCAGGTTTGAAACATTTGGTTTGATGTGCATCACGAGCCATCTCATTCATATTGGAAGTGTTTGAGATTCAAAATGGAACACTTCAGACTCCAAACACAGATACTTGGGGCTCAAGGCACATCTTGAATGGTCTAAAATAATTTAGATTTGGATCTGAGCCTGTTTCAAGTAGGAAGCTTTGAATCTGCTGTTAATTGAATTGAAAATGTTTCATATATCACCTGTTATACCTACATCTTTTCCTTGTCATTCCATCTTTAATGCCACCCACTGTCTGCCACCTCATTCTTTCCATTTCATTCCTTCTAACTACCACCTGTTTTCTCCTTACCATTAATCATCCCTTTCCTTTCCCTTTCCTCTTTCTCATTGGCAGCAGAAAAAGGCATGGGGCTGAGGTAGGGCAACAGCCCTTCACAGTCTATGTTAAAATTTAAGGTATTTGCCTAGGTTAGCAACTTCTTGCTTCCTGATTTGCAAATAGCTCACCAGTAAAGGCACTCACTGTCCTTATTAATTTATGGCTCTCATTGTTGATATGCTTCAAGACAGTGCAGGTGGATCTTGTCTTACAAATGAAAGCTACAATGGATCCCCAAAAGCTACTTGACCCCGTTTCAAAGTTCCCACATTTCCCCATAGTCATGTGACTGCATTTTGGGCTTTCAGCAATTGGCCCACAGTCCCGTGATCACAGTATATTATTGTTTTGCTGGAAATGGGCATTTACTTCCAGTTTCCAGAAAAAAAGTCCCATTATTAACAATGACTGTCACATTCAGTTAACAACTTCCACAAAAAAAGTTTCTACAATTGGATCAGTCACATGATGACCTGCTTTACAATTGTTATGACTGCAGTTGCCAGGCTCAGTTATGATCATAAGTCAAGGACTATCTATAGCTGACTGGTCACTGTCAGGACAAGGAAGCATACTATATTTTACAGTGGTCTATGCCTGACTGACAGCTCATCTGACAAGGTGCATGTATCAAATACACCTGGTCTTTGTTCATCATTTTAGCAGTAGCCCAGAGGAACCTGGGTCCATACCTGATGTTCTGTCCCTAGTGGCATAGCTGGCGTTTATGATAATCTCCTGAAACAAGCAAACTTCAGTCTGAAGGTTATAAAGCTTTCTTGTTTTTGTAAACCGTAGTTTAAGAATTTGGGTACAACAGTGAACTGCAGATATTTAAAAACTGAAGTGAACATTATTCTATCACTGCAGGGATGAGCTTTTTAAAATAAGATTAGCCGGGTGTCAGAAAATGGTTTTTGAAATGTATGACCTTACCATTTCTTTTTTGGAAAAGGTAAAATTTTCTAATAATCAAAATACCCAGCAATATGTGTTATGCCAGATATTTTGTGATATCTTGCAATAATATCTTGCATTTTTTATATTATAGTAGTTAATTCATTGGTGGACCAATGACTATAGATAAGTATATAGCATAAGGCAGATTTTTTCTTTTCTTTCTTAGTTTGCATTTTTCATTTTTTAAAGTTCTTTTGAAGATGAAAAATTGTTTTGTTACAGTAAAAATAAAGACATTCAAAATTTATTTTTTAAAAGATTAGGTTAGCCTCCCCAAATCTGAATCCCTCCATATATTCGATATTAGGATTTTTCTTGCCTCTATCAAGGATTAAAAAATAAAAAAAAACTGTGGTCCAGTACTTTTAGAAGGAACCAAGCCAGGGAAGGTTGGGTTAATTTTATGTCCCAGCAAGATCATTTTGTGGAGCATTAATGTATGCTGAGAGTAAAGCCACATAGCGGTGACATGGATGTCTCCACAAGAATGGGATAATCAACATGACAGGCAGTTCTACCTATTACATACAAAATATGGAACCACACCTACAAATTCATTTACAATTTAAAATAACTTTCATGTGTTCACCAATATATATTTGTCCTACTTTCCTACATTTATTACTTCACTACATTTATTTATTATCAAGTTTTAGTAAATTGAAGGATATAATTTTTTCCCATCTTTGAGCTCCTCCTTTTGCAATCCACTAGCATTCCACATAAAACATTTCCTGCATTTTATCCCTCAGCACAATTATATCTTTTGACTGTGAACAAACAAATGTCTTACTAGAACATTTATTTCTTGTGTTCTTTTCCCCTTCAACTACAGTATTAGAAATTTTTCATAAAATAAAACATTTTATTAAACAATAATAAAGCCCTTCTTTTCATTTCTCAATTACCTTTTCAATAACATGTTTTGGGGGAAAATTGCATTTTTAACTGACTTTTTTTAATCAAGATAATATTTTAAATTAAAAATGGTTTAAGTATATGACATGTGTTATAGTCTTTTTCTGCTTCCTTTTAATTCAGCAACTACTCAGCCTGGTGCTTTTCATTTTTGCGTGGACTGTGGGATTCATAACACACTACATACTTCCTCAACTTCGCAAACATCATCCATGGATGTGGATATCCCACCCTATCCTTAAAAATAAGGAATATCGGCAGAGAGAATTAAGAGGTATGTAAAACATTGTCACCCCAATACAAATGTGTAAATTACACTGTTTATTATGCTTTACATAATATGATTAAGTTAATATGATATTTTTGAACATTATTATGAATCATGAAGAGGAAGTTATAATTAGACAGAAATAGAAATCACTATGTTAAAGTGATTAAGCTGGCAGGAATAGCCAATGCTCTAGATCAGGGGTAGGGAACCTTGGCTCTTTTATGACTTGTGGACTTCAATACCCAGAATTCCTGAACCAGCCCTGCTGACTCAGGAATTCTGGGAGTTGAAGTCCATAAGTCATAAAAGAGCCAAGGTTCCCTACCCCTGCCCTAGATGATAGGCTCAAGATTCAGACAGATCTTGACAGACTTTTAATACTGGGCTCTATCTAACAAAATGAAATTCAGTGTAGAGAAAAGTCTTACACTTAGGCAAGAAAAACCAAAAGTACATATATAGATTGGGTGAAACTAGGCCTAATAGCAGTAACTGTGAGAGGGATCTCAGAGTCTTAGTGGACAATCCACTAAATATGAGCCAATAGTGTGCGGCAGCAGCCAAAAAAGCCAATGCAATCCTAAGTTGCATTAACAGAGAGATTCAATCATGATCACGTGACGTACTAATACCATTCAATAAAAGCCTTAGTAAGACCACACCTAGAATACTGCAACCAATTTTGGTCTCCACACTATAAAAAAGATGTTGAGACTCCAGAAAAAGTGCAGAGAAGAGCAACAAAGATGATTAGAGGAGGCTAAAACATATTAAGAATGGTTACAGTCTAGGGAAGAGAAGGACCAGGGGAGACATGATAGCAGTGTTCCAATGTTTGAGGGGCTGTCACAGAGAGGACCTGAAGACCAGACAAGGAATAACAGATGGAAACGTATCAAGGAGAGATTCAACCTAGAAGTAAGGAGAAATTTTCTGACAGTGAGAACAAACAACCAATGGAACAGTTTGCCTTCAGATGTTGTGGGAGTTTCATCACTGGAAGCTTTCAAGAAGAGACTGGACTGCCATCTGTCAGAAATGATGTAGGGTCTTCTGTTTGGCCAGGGGGTTGGATTAGATGACCTAAAAGGTCCCTTCCTATTCTGTTATTTTGATTCTGGTTCGAAAGTAAATGAATGAGTGCAGGATTATAACACAGCAAAAAGGCGAACCTTCTCAGTAGTTGCTGTAGAGCAGGGCTTTTCAACCACTGGTACGGGTACCACCTGTGGTACATTGGCACCTGGCAGGTGGTACACGACCATCCTAGAAAAGTGGTAGTGGGGGAGGGGAATGAGCTGAACCGGTGGCAGCACTGCACAAGCCTGAGCAAGAGATGGCTGGAGCTGCAGGGCTGTCAGGGCTCAGCGGAAGCACCAGGATCAGTGCCCCTTTCCAGCTGATCGGCACTTTTTCAGGGCTGTCAGGGCTCAGCGAAAGTGCCAGGATCAGCGCCAGGCTCCTGGTGCTTCTGCTGAGACCAGAAGAAGCATCGATCAGCTGGAATGTTGCAGCATCTCCAGGGTCTTGTGATTTACATTCAGAGGCTTGGCAACTGATTCATATTTATGACGGTCCCAGTGTTCCGGGGTCATGTGAAGTGACCAAAACCTGCTGCAACCACCCAGACATAAAAACCAAACATCCCCCCACCTCATTCCCCCTGCTAATCCTCAACAGAAATGCTCACAACAATGAAAAACTTGGACAGGAGGAAGAGCACTGCCGGGCGGGTAGGCAGGTGTCTTGCTCGGCTGTGGCTTGGGGGGCACTTTTTTCAGTGCCATTGTAACTTCGAATAGTCACTGAGTGAACTGTTGTAAGTCGAGGACTACCTGTACTTTATCACTTTTTTTCTTTTTTTTTTTTTTTGGGGTCATCAAGTTTTTGACACCTTGCTGGGCGACTGGTGGTACTCAGATGTTGCCATATCCTAAAAGTGGTAAAATGGGTGAAAAGGTTGAAAAGCCCTGCTGTAGACCATTGGGATTTTTCCTGTTCAAACATGGTAGCTACACTTAACAGTAATGTTTGTCATTCTCTCAGTTATTTTTTTAATTATTATTTTCTTTTATCATTTGTAGCTCAGTCTTCAGGATGAATACTATATTGATAAGCTTTTATTCAATAAAACTCATCAATTAGCCTTCCTTAAGTTGGAGTGTCCCAGATATGTTGGATTTTCATTTCCATAACTTTGAGCCAATAAAGACTATGCTGACTGGGAAAATTATCAGGTTGAGATCTAACTGTTAAAGATACCAGGTGGAGGAAACCTTAGTTTCAATGTAAGGTGAACTGTGGTAAAGGTATTTATGATTATAAATACACTACACTCACAAATAATATTTGGAGAAACTAACTTTGTAATCTACTAGAAGTCAAAATAGGAAACAATTCTAATAATTCTCAAGTGTTTGATCATTGTCTAAACTAGTCCTTGGATAACATTATGGATAGATATAATTTTATGAAACTAACTATATAGCTTTAACTATATTAATAAACTCAATTTTAGCAAGCCTATGTTTGTGCTTTGGCAAAATACAGGTTTAAGCTTTTATAATAAGATTATAATTTTGGTTTACCACATAACACTTAAAAGGAAATAGCACTTTTCATTATTAATATTTTATTTTATTTTTTATTATTCCCAAATAATAAGCATGATATTGGAATTGCAACAACTGCTGAGTTGAGAAGTAGGGATAGCTGTAAATATCTCTAAAATTGCAGTTGTTTTAGTTCTCCTGTAAATCTCTCAACTAGAAGCAACCTGACTTTTCACTAACTGGCTCTCTTCAGGGGTTCTAAACTCACTTCAATTTAGAAACTTCCTGACATGTTTTGATGGGTCTACATTTTAATGACTCTGTTTGTATGTTTTTGACACGTTGGTGATAAGGATGTCAGAAAATGGAATGTTTCCATTATCTCAGTCTCTTCTCAAAATCAAGCTGACAACTGATTTTGAATAGGGGAAAACACAACATCTTAATAAGAATCTATTATAAGAGAAAAAATTAACTTCCAAACAATATCATTGGATATAGAGCAGGGGTGTCAAACTTGTGACTTGTCGTGACGTGTTGCAACTTTTTTGCCATTGCCGGCAATGGGGTGGGTACGGTTTCGCTATGATGCATCCGGCCCACGGGCCAGCAGTTTGACATCCCTGATATAGCGCATACTCAGGAAATTCACATAATAATTACAGCCCAGTGATTCTTGCAGAATGACAAAGGGAGAACTAAGAAAACATTATCCACATAAATTTAAATTTAATAACAGAACATATATATTTAAGATATGAGACAGTCCTGTGATCTCTTAGCATAATAATTACAGTACATCAATTATTCTATTTTTAATATATTACAAATCTATACATTACAAGATTAAATATATTTCAAATTAAAACAAATGTATTCAAGTGAGTCTCAATTCCTTTTAACTTCATGAATATATTGGCATGGTTTTCTTATCAACAATACAAAAATAATTTGCCATTACCACCTTATGGAGTGTTTTTCCCACTTTCCAGTCTAATCTAGAGTTTAGAGTTTAGGATTTCCTCATGGTCTCCTTTCCAATTAGTGAAGTGATTCAGGCCTGCTTAATTTTCTGAGTACCCAAAGTCAGCTGAGTACTGCAGTCCAGCTAAACAACCAAAGAATTCTTATGTAAGCTATAGGGAAATATAAAAATAAACATGGGCGAAAAAAACATTCATATATCACAGTTCTGAACAAAAATTATTTCTGAACTGATGGCTTTCAGTTCAATAAATCTTAGCTCTTAAAATTCCGTAGTGCAACTGAGTTTATTGCAAATTCCGTAGTGCAACTGAGTTTATTGTTTGGTTGCTACCCATTTACAAGTCCACAGCATTTTGTGCCTCCCAATAGCAAATGGCCTTTTTTTTATGGTGTCTCTTTTAGCTGTTTAAACTCTCACTTTACAGAACACTTATATGCTACTTATTCAGGGTTACTTATATTCTTGGTCAGTCTTTAATGGACATCTCATTATTCAGATGATCAGAATGTTTTCGGCGGATTTTAGTTCCTGTTTCATATTTTTCAGGAAGAACAATATCCTCATTATATGAATATTTTGAAGCACTAACATTATTTCAAATGAATGAATAATGGTATAAAACTATTAATCCCTTAATAGCCTATATGAAAGTTAGATGCTATTTGTTATTGGTATTGCACATGATTTCATAAAGGGTTTTTTTATTATTATTATTCAGCTGCTGCTCATTTAATGTGGTTTGAGAGACTGTATGTTTGGCTTCAGTGTTTTGAAAAGTACATCTTGTATCCAGCCATAATACTGAACTCCCTCACCAATGATGCTTTTTTAATCAGCAAAAACAAGAGGATTACCTCACAGTAAGTTGCATATTATATTCAAGATGCATCTTTTCAGAATTAAAACGATCTCCACATCCCATCAACGCTGATTGGAACTGGTCCTGGAAGAAGGGTAAGAACCCACTATAACATTGTAACTCATTAACCCCCTGAATTGGTCCAGAAGGATACAATGATCAATGGTATCAAAAGCCATTGAGAGTTCAAGAGCAAGGATAAGCACACTACTTCTGTCCTCTCCCTGCCAGTGTTGTCTCAGTCCTGTAATCTAACTGAACAGGGTACAGATGATCAGCCTCCTCCAGCATCCTCTGGAGTTGCCGTGCAACCAACTTCTCAACCTTTTCTTAGGAAAGATTGAAAGCAGGATGAAACGTCTCCTATATAGTTGGATCCATCAAGGGTTTCTTGAGGAAATGGCAGACCACTCCCTCTCTCAAAGAATTTCCTACCTTTACAATCCAGCCTAAATGAAGTTCATTGATTCACCAGATAGAAGTTTAGTGACATGCTTAGATGCATTAGATATAATGCTTAGATACTATGTAAGATCTAGAAATTGTGACCCACGAGTTGCTTATCTGATTCTTCACAGTCGAAATTAGTTAGAAAAACTATGAGAGAAGAAGCTAAGGATTAACAGATGGACCTATTAGACTACAATAGACTTGGAAATTTACAAGGTGTGCAGGTTTGTTGTAACAATTTTGAACTCAACCAGCTGCTGAGGGCAAAGGTGACATCTCCCTTGGCTCTTGGTGTTCAAGTCCACAGAATATCACTGCTTTATGGTCTCTTTTTGAGGAGCTCACATCCAGACCATTCCTAGGTGATCTCCCATTTTGTTCCCTGGAGAATTTTGAAGGACTGGTCTGTTTGCTGGTGTTTTGTTCTTCTCAGCAGTTGTCACTTCTGGTCATTTGTAAGATGTCTTCAGTCAGCCATGACTCAAACCAGAAGCCAAAGTCCTATCTGTTTTTGGTAAAAACACGTGTAGGATCAAAGTCTTGTAAGAGCATGGGCATATTATTCCTGCAAAATATAGTCTCTTGTTTTAGTTTTGTTGGTTGTTTTAATTTAACTGAGAAATACTGATGTAGTCCTTACCAAGTTGTGTGAGCAGGAATCACACCATATTTTTCTCTGAAGTGGTGTGCTTATGTCATATAAATTCAGCAAGGGGAATCTCCATACGTTCTTGTGAATATGGATAAATGCCATCCTTTCATCTTTAAGCTTTTCCCTTCCTTTTTAGATTTCTCTTCTTTACATCTTGATATCACATGGTTGTCTTTAGAGTTTGGCTTACCCATCATGTTCCGTTACCACTTTATTACTTGTGTAGCAACCACTCACACTTACTTCAGTGATGGAAAAGTAACTTTGCAATCAATTACAGGTCTGCAAAGCAAAGGAGAGCTGAAGTAAGATCATAAGACAGTTGTGCTTATGCGACTGCTTCACTTAATGACTGAGATTGCTGGTTCCAAGTGTGGTAGCTAAATAAGGGCCACCTGTACTATAGTTAAGTGCAACATCACAAATTCCCTCAATCAAATCAAGTGCTCTCTACTAGAAAAGCTTTCATAAATCATATTTTAGTGATTGGGATATGCAAACACAATTTTAACAGATAAATGAACCAAATGGAAACAGGCCTAATGTTTACAATGCATGTTTATAATAAATTATAACGTAATTTATAATTTATTTGAATTTTCTTTTCATTTTATTTTGCAGCTGTGATATCTTTCTAATTACAATTGCGGGAATGAAGCTACTGCGGTCCTCATTTTGCAATCCCATTCATCAGTTTGTTACATTAAGTTTCACCGTCATCTTCTTCAAGTTTGATTACAAAGGTTTCTCCGACAACTTCTTATTCAATTTCTTCATTATGTCAATTGTGTTCAATAAGGCAAGTGATGATTTTCAAAACATCATTGTCCTTTCAAGCATAACTGTTTTCTTGGGTTGAGTTAATCTTTTTTTCTTTCAAAACAAATCAAAATCAGAACTGTTACAATGCTGTTAATGGTAGTAGTAATAATAATAATAATAATAAAGTTGGAAGGGACCTTGGAGGTCATTGAGTCCAACCCCCTGCTCAGGCAGGAACCCTACACCATTTCAGACAAATGGATAGAAATTAAACAAAACTAAACCCTGCTGATAAAGATCAAGCAGAAATATTGCTGTATCCTACCAGAACTTAAGAAAGAAATTATTTTAATGTGAAATGTCTTTGAAATGTCATGTTGACTTCTGTGTTGACATAATGCTGTCAAAACTCATAACAGTAGAGCACCTTTGAAAAGGAGAATTATTAATAAATTACTGGCTTGCTGAGTCACACATGAAGGGGCTGCCTACTTGAATATTTATTTAACTTTTGGATACCTCTGTTTTTTGATTCAAAAAGGCTCCTCTGGGAAATTATTCAAATATATAATCAGCTTTAAGATAAATTATTAATTTTTCATTCCTTGTGACTGGCTTCACCTTCACTTCCTTGGTTTTCAACTCATTATGCTTTGTTAGACATGTTACAAAAGGGCATTTGCTGGAGCACAGAGGGGTGAGTGAAATACCCTTCCCAAAGCATTTATGTATCTATGCCCTCCTGAAGGCTTTGTGCAGTGACTTCAAAGGCATTCTTCAGTTGTCCCTTTTGCACATGCATATGAAAACAACACTGTACAATGTGCATACACAGATAATTGATCCTGTATGTATGGCAAGCATAGAGGTGAAGGAAGAGCTATTTAATACACTGTATTGACAGAAAATATAGGATAAATGCTTTAAATTCAAAGTAGAAGAGATGGCTTGAAATGTGCTGCCACCTTAATTCAGCCCATCTCCATGTCATTAAACTAGCTGGATCATGCAGCTGCTGCTTTAATGAATCATAGTCCATGCTGCATTTGGTCATCCACATGTAATGAAGCAGTTCTTCAGAACTGAAACACTGCACAGCTCTATTTTGTTGACTTAAAACATTAAGTGTATCCAATTCCCTGAAGTCTCTCCTCATGAGACTTAGTTTGCCATCCTCTAATCGTCTTATCCAAACTTATCGGAGTTTTTCTGAATCTTTCTTAAAATATGGTGCCTAGCGCTAAACACAATATAGAAAGTACAGTCTGGTCTGTGATTTGAAAAGTATTTTTCTTTTGACGTGATCCAAATTTGTTTTTTTGGCAAACCCTGTCATACTACTGAAATGATCTAGATTTTTTCTATACAAACCATCTGCTGCCATATGACTCAGCATGTGATTTCTTCTACCTAAGTGAAGAACTTTGCCTTTTTCAATACTAACTTCTTCTCAGATTTTGTTTTTGCTGGCTAGAATATTAGCTACCTCACTTTCTCCTGTGTCAGCTGCATTTTGGATGAGAATCAGTCCATCTTTTCATCCAAGTCATTATTTTTAGCAAATATAGATATAATTAACATGTTCCAGTTCCCTCTCTGCCCTGCATCTTCTGAACAAATGCTGTCCTTCAATTTTTATGTCCTAGTCATGAGAACCATCTGATCAGTACCTATAATATCTAATCATATTTGTAATAGAATTCAAATTCATTTCATTCCCATTCACCGAGCATTAGTACACAGACAGAAAGCCATAGATTTTATGAGCCAATGTTCTTCCTGATTTTTCATTAATTTATATAATAGGCCATTGAACATTTCCTTGGCTTAATTCAGTGAACCTTCTCACCTCCAGTGCCCAAAAAAAAAAAAAATAGTTTTCCTCTTACTATGGCTTCCTCTCACTTGGACTTTGCTTACCTACTTGCTTCTCCTAGAATCTAGCATACCACACTCAATATGACTGTTTCAAATCTCCGTCTTGCTTACATTTTTCAATGTTTCATGCTCTTTCCCAGGTGATGTGCTTCCTTTCATATCTGCAAGCTATCTCTTTTTTTGTTTGTCTCAAGACAAGATTTTGTTTTGTTTGTTTGTTTATGTATGCATGCATGCCAGTCGGGATGGAATGAGAAGCAGCTATTATACAAATCAAGGGCAAGTTTTCTTTTTCATTTCCTATCCCCACATTTGAGGCTTGCATTTTGCTCTTGTTGTGAACTTTCCTGTCTATCTCTTCAGGCATCTGGGATATTGGATATCCAGTATTGCATATTAGATGAAACCTTTGTGGAGTGGAGGCTGGGATGAAAGTTTGAGGAATATGGCTTGCCCCATCCCTTGTCTGAGTAAATGAGAGTTTGCTAATTCACTACACCTCTACATTGTACAATCTGTATCTGCTGCTCTTACGCCTAGATCAGTGTTTCTCAACCTTGACAATTTTAAGGCTTGTGGACTTCAACTCCCAGAATTCCACAGCCAGCAATGCTGGCTGTGGAATTCTGGGAGTTGAAGTCCACATGCCTTAAAATTGTCAAGGTTGAGAAACACTGGCCTAGATGAATGACTACAAATTCAGATATTAAAGCCCTCTTGATCAAGCTCACCATATTTCAGGCAGACATTATTTCTTTATCATATTTAAAAACCATTTGTCTCTCTCATGGAGCAATTCTGGGCAGTGAGTAATCTTGAAAGGCACACCCATGTAGTCCAGCAATCTAAGAATCTGAATATCTCATATGACACCATTTTTGTCAGTAGTTATTCATTTGGAGTGTTTTTCCCTTTCCAGACCTCTTTCTAATGGGGGGGGGGCTCACCTTATCCTTAGAATGCATAAGACCATTACATAAGGCCACCCTTTGAACACCCTTCATTTTTCTTAGAGTTTTAAAATCCATGGGGTTAATAGTTGTAGCTATTCTTGGTGGTATCATTTGTCCCCCTGTACAAGAGCAAGATGGGACGATTGTTATACTTTTATGATAGTAAAGAGATTGTTGTGAGAATGGCAATTGTTTGCTGGTCTTAATGATTTGGAATATATGAATTTTGTTCATTTAAGGAAAAAGAAAGTATTGTTGAAAAGCAGCTTATGCAAACTGCTGAGGGGTTGAAGGGGGTAATAATAGCTGAGTGAAAGCATGAGTAAAATCAAGGTAGCATCAATCAAACTGTGGTATTATTATTTTTTTCTATGCAGAAGGATGAGGGAACAAAGAAGGAAAATCAGAACATTGATATTGGAGAAAGTTGATTATTTTGCAGATTGATATATTTTATCAATAAGGGAATCACTTTCTAAGATTCCCACAGTGTCATGAGTTATCATTTCAAGAAGGCCATTTAGAAGAATCCCTTTTTAAAATTAAAGAATCTGCCTACCTGTATTCATACATCTATCTTCTATGTATATTTATATAGATTTTTTTAAAAAAATTTAATCTTGCCTTTATTATTTTTATAAATAACTCAAGGCAGTGAACATACCTAATAAAGTACAGGAAGTTTATTTTTCTTTGCCATACATTTGACTCTATCTAAACTGGAACTAACCTTGTAAAAGTGACCGTCAAAACATTAGTTTTCACTGAAGATATGAGGTTTTCTTCAACAGCAGTGCTAAAGTGTTTTCACTCTATATCATCATGTCAAAAACAAATATCCCATCAAGCAGTGGTTGAAGGTACATGTCAAGTTTCTCTGTTACTCTTCAAAAGCCTTACAATAAAATCATATTAGACAGTTGATTAGCAGATTATTTTTCCCCGATGCTATTAGTAATAATAGTTGTAGTATAATAGTAAACTGATCATTGTAATAATTTTATCCCTTTTCAGAGCTGATCCAAGATAATTATTGCCTGAGACAAAGCAGCAAATTATATACAAACGTACAGACACAAAACTGCATCACTCTGAAGGCCAATCACCCTTTTATGATACCAGAAATAGAAAAATCACACAAGAGCCTCTTATCCCCAGTATAAAATTTCAATCATCAGTTATTCAGCCAACAATTTGTTGCTGTTTCATGTCACTGAGAATCAATTGCCCAAAATAACAGCCTCGTGCTAGCTAATCAGAAATCCAGTTGGTTCCTTTTGCCTTTCATTAATGCAATCCAGGGAGCTCAAATAGTGTGAATCAATATAACTGCTTGGGGTCTTTAGTGCCTACACCACTTTTCTCTTTGTGACCTGCTCAGTTACTGATTGCTGATACTTATTTTCCCTTGCAAAACCACTCAACAGATTCTGAAATCATTTTCCCCTCAATATATATGGACTCTTCAAAATAAAAGAGACTAAATCACTCAGAAATATTGCACTACATAATGTAGCCCATAACCTCCCTTTTAGAAACCCTCTCAGTTTGTCTAACTGGTACAACTGCAAATGTATAATATTTGAATTCCAAAAATCTGAATATAGATTATTTTCTCAATAACTTAGTTTCCTATTTATGTGGCTTTCTAATATACCATTCCACAGACAATATTATGTACCTGTTTCTTATGGTTTTAGTTATGTAGAAGATGCAGGAAAAAGGTAATATATCACTTTAAAAAAATAATTCAGTGGTTTAGGTCATCAAGGCTTATCGTACCATATAGCAAAGCAATGCTCCTGGTCGCAGAAATATGCTGTTCTTTGTTTTGTCAGTAATCAGATAAAATAACTATTTTTGATTTCAACATCTTTGTTGAACAGATATTCTCTAGCTTAGTCTGAAATGCAAGACGTGCTTGGTTTAGTCCATGTGTTTTGGCAAGTGAATGCTTGGTTTTGATTGTCAGTTAGGTGAAAGACTGTCAGAATATTTTATGAAAAAATGTTTCAGAATGAACCTGCCAACATAATCTGCTCAGCTGCGCAAGCCACCTGCTGGGACTTCTTTAGACGTGACAACTGATTGTAATGAAGTATCTCAAGAAGAATCTTTGATTCAGTGGAAGTTTCTCTAGTCTTTTTCACTACCTTTCAGACTGTATTGGTAGATTTTTTAAAGTCTGACGGTGAACAGATTTAGAAGGCTAAGTGGGGATTTAAACACTGTCTTCCACTCCCTACAAAGAATAAAAATAGGCCTGATTCTTTAGAGTTTAAGTTCAAAGCATCCATCTCATCTCTTCTTAAAAATCCCAAATCCTTAAAAATGTTAAAAAAATAATAATCCAGAAATGCCCTTCCCAAAGAAGATCCCCAAAGAAGTGCTGGTATGTCTACTGGTCTTCTGCAGGCTATCCACTTCTATTTTTAAGACTACTACTACTTCTAATTTTCAAGAATAAAGAAATAACAGAAGATAAAGGAACAACCGTAGTGTTTCTTGAGATGTTTATGAATTGGAGTTATAAAAACAAGCTATCATGCAAAGAGGAATCTTCAGCTATTTGTTAATCCTCTAGCTTGGCCAATTTTCTCTAAAGATGCAGAAAAATCACTGAACATGTTCATGAGTAATGCACATTAGAAGAATAAATTGAAATTATACTGCACCACAAATTGACAAATATTTTCTCTCTTTGGCTATGGGTTTTTTTTTTTACGACTCAGTCTCAGTAGTGGAATCAGAATAACGTCTGATAGTTATGTAGTTACCAGGGCTGTAAAACTTGGAGTTATGAATTCTGCATTAAAAAGAAACCCTAAAGAATTGTGATGACACAGAAATGTCGTATCGATCTGTGTTCTGTAAATTTGAGCAAGTTCCCATAATGTTTACTAATATTCATGATTCATATAATTTGCCTAGTGGCAGATTTTGCTGAAAAGGCCTGGTTAAGATTATAATTCCATTCCTCCTCCTGCCTTTGGTGAAAAGGAATTGTAAAAAGTTGCATTTGTGGAAGGGAAGAGAAAATATGCTAATTCCCATTTGTAGAAACAGGTTTTTTTAGTGCATTTTCTTGATTCATAGAGCTATGGCCTTACTCTCACAGGCCACTCCTATCATAATTCTCTCTCTGTGTACATGTGTTTATGTGTGTGTATGTGTACAAGTGCTTTTATACTACCGCTAGTCCTTGACTACGACAAAAATTGAGATCAGAATTTCTGTTGTTAAGCAAGGTGGTTGTTAAGTGAGTTGTGCCCTATTTTGCAACCTTCTTTGCCACAATTGGTTAACCAAATCACTGCAGTTAAGTGACTCACACAATTGCTAAGTAAATCCGTCTTCTCCCATTGACTTTGCTTGTTGAAGCTGGCTGGGAAGGTCGCAAATGGTGATCACGTGACCCCAGGACACTAACAAATACATGTTGTAAATACATGTCAGTTTCCAAGCACTCAAATTTAGATCACATGACTGTGGGATGCTGCACTGGTTGTAAGTGCAAGGACTGGTTATACGTCCCTTTTTTTCAGCGCCATTGTAACCTTAAGTGGTCATTAAAAGAATGGTTGTAAGATGAGGACTACTTGCACTTCAATCAATATCAGATCTTGGGGAAAGTTTATTTTAAAGCAGGAGGGATGCAGCCTGGCCTTATGTCTTTTCCTAACAATGAATATCATTTAGGACAGGGTTAGGCAATCTTGGCTCTTTTATGACTCGTGGACTTCAACTCCCAGAATTCCTGAGCCAGCATGGCTCAGCTTGGAAACCTCTCCCTTTCCCTTCAGCATGGCTGGCTCAGGAATTCTGGGAGTTGAAGTCCACGAGTCATAAAAGAGCCAAGGTTCGCCACCACTGATTTAGGACAATGAGGCATGGAATGTGCTAATAAAAATGGAGTTGAACATCCTTATACATTTTTCCTCTACCCTATCCCACTCAGTTTGGGATTATATGAGTTACAAAGGTTAACTTTTTAAAAGAGAAAATCCCGTTTTTTAAAAAATGAAATAATGTAAAGCATTCTATCTGACATGTTTCATGAGATTATTCTGGCTAATTGTCCTCAGATTATAAAAAAGAATACCATTTTGATGATTGAATTGAATCTTAACATCTAAGTATAATTGTGTAGGAAGAATCTTTGTAGACTTGTAGTAAATACAGAAACCGAAGTGCTTTGTGTTGTTTTTTTAAATAGACTTTATGGATGCTCTCATCATTTTTTTTTCTCTCTCTCTCTCTTTTATTTTCAGCTGTGGGATCTACTACAGAAATTACAGTTCATAATGACTTATATTGCTCCTTGGCAAATTGCCTGGGGCTCATCTTTCCATGTGTTTGCTCAGCTCTTTGCAATACCTCATATCCTTTTAAGAAAGCTGTTTGCTGTTTTGTTGTGTATTCAGCCTGAGGCTTGTGAGTAATTTGTATAGACCGCCATTGTTTTGTTTTGTTTGTTTTGTTCCTTTTTTAAGTACATCATTCCAAGAGGATTAGCTATGTACAATGCTTGGGAAAATGAAATTTGTGTTATTAAATAGATAAAAGTAAGGTAAGATAGGAAATGAGAAATGTGTTTCATTATCTGTTGTGCAGTTGTATATGTATTTTTTTTAAAAAAGGAGAGTATGTCCCTGATACTTTCACAAATTGTATAAACCAATTTCTGCCAAGTTGAGAAAAATCTTTTCCCCTCTAAAGTTCTGTATTTACACACTAGATGAAATACTTCCTAAATGACAGGGAAAATTCTTTTTAAAGGTTGTCACTTACAGTACTCTGGCAGATTACATTGTATTTTTTTTTCTTTGTCAGTAATTTGCAAGCCTTTTTCCTTTCATTTCAGGGGAACATTTATATGGGTTGTCCCAAAGATGCTTTTTCAAGAGGCAACTGGACTTTTTCTTTGAAAATGTTTCGCTTCTCATCCAAGAAGCTTCTACAGCTCTGAGCTGAAAGTCCAGTTGCCTCTTGAAAAAGCACCTTTGGGGCCACAATGACCTTGATGACTGGGAATCTCCATAGATATTTATGTGGGTTGAATCTTTGTGTATATTTGAATTTAAAAGCACTATTTTAAAGAAAAGCCTGGGATAAGATAGCAATAATTAACCTCAAGGATAAATGTTCAACTTACTAAAGGCAGAGAGATCCCTAGGCCAACTGTGATTGCAGAGGAACCTGTAATATTCACACTATTAGTTGCTCATTTCACAATTTGACATGGACTTCCTCTAGAGTTTTGCTGCCTTCCACTAATCTTTTCCATTTGTTTCCTGTGCCTTTCTACCCCCCCCCCACTTAATTATGACTTTCTATCCCAAATTAACATGAATTATAAGTTCATTGTGTTGTAGCTTCAGTATTTTCATTACATCGAATTCTAAATAATCCCAGTTCTTCTTGGTTCTTTAGCTCTTACCCATTACTTTGCTGCACTTGTCTTTTGGAAAGGAAACTAAGTAAGTCAGGAAGCACCTTAAAGGGCATCGTAAAATCCAGTGAAATCTATTTATGCTACCTTAACTTGAAGCTTTCAGACTCTGCAATGCTTTTCTGTCAGACTCTGGCTACTGCAATCTTTTCTACTCCCTTGAGCCCATTTCTAGGGAGTGTCATTTTTCTCACATCGTATGCCAGACCAGTGAAGTTCTGGGAAAGAAGTTACAAGTAAGATAAAAGTATTATAAACGTATTCTCTTTTTTATTCAAAATGTGCGGTTTAAATGGAATGTAGTTCACAATATTCTAGAGCTTTCTGTAGACTGTGGGGATTACTCCTGTTGCGATTGTTCATGGTGCATTTCACTAATGGTTGTGGACGGAATGTTAGCCATTATTTTTCTAAAAAAATTGTATATTTAAACAATCAGAATAGAGTTGTCACTTCACATCTGTGTTTGCAAAAGGCAGCGAAACTCTGAAGGAGCAGTCTGAGAGCTATGACTACCCTAAGTGCTAACAGTTATTGATTCAACAGCTACAGCTAGAAATGAAATCATTCTGGCCTTGTGGCATTTGAAATCAACAGGGATCATCATAGTCTTATCCCCTAAGGTCATTCCCACATATCATTACATTTCCCAGCCAGAAACCAACAACTGCTCTGCACACTTAATTACACTCTCCAAGTTTTCTCTCCAACCCATCCATTCTATAAGATTTTCCCTTTCCTCACCTCTCCTCTCCTCTCCTCAATTTTAAATTAGATTAGCAGCATGTCTCCCAGCAACTGAAGCTGGACCAATGGGACTGTTATCACCAAAATCTGATCACAAATCTCTGGCTAGCAATCAGGTTACTTCATCAGCCCTCACATTCCAGGCCAAACGTGAGCTGCTTTCCCCTTTTACAGTACTCACCTCAGTGGCTGACTCACACTGGCAGAACAGCAGCCATGCCACGTCACTAAAATCCATATGCCATTGTTTTGCTGCACTAATAGAAAAACTCCCATTTAAAAATAGAATCTGTAAGACAGGGATCCCCAACCACCGGGCTGTGGACCTGTACCAGGCCACGGCATGCCAGCAACCGGTCCACACAAACAAGCTAAGCCCCATCCGTGGGATGCAGGTAGCACACAAAACCCCGCACTCTCTGGTCCATGGAAAAATCTTTCTCCATGGAACCGGCCCCTGGTGCCCAAAAGATTGGGGACCTCTGTTGTAAGAGACATATTATACCTTCTACATACTCACTCTAAGAAAGTTTCAACAATTGACATTGGTGAACAGTTGTATCAGCCAAATTCAATTTATTGTGCTGCTTTGGGAAAATGGGGATGTTTCATCCTTTTCTCATCTGCTGTTTTTTTTTTCCCTTGTGAATCATCCCCCACTCTAGTTTCTTGCCTATGTGATTTCCAGTAACTGCTTGTGTGTATATGTATGTGTGTATATGTGTATCTTGAACTCTTTATGATTGAAGTAAATCAACATATATAGAAGGATTAAGCCTCATCACTCTTCTTCAACCTCTCAACTCCTGATTATCCAATCCCCAAATACATTTCTAAGTTAAAAAGAGAGAGAGGGGGGGAGAGAGAGAGAGAGAGAGAGAGAGAGAGAGAGAGAGAGAGAGAGAGAGAGAGAGAGAGAGGGAGAGAGAGAGAGAGAGGGAGAGAGAGAAAGAGAACTGGGGTTTGTTTCATGCTTCTTGTTCACCACTTCCTTTATTTCAATTTACACCACTTTTAAAACTGGTGCCTTTGCACAGTTCACATATATAATAATAATTCAAAATAAAATTCCAAAGCAATGCAAATGAATGAAAGTAGTAAGTAAGATCTGTAGTCCCAAAATGCAGTTTGAGAAAATGAAAATGAGAGTAAATGGGTTTTTAAATTTACTTTTTTAAATATTTCTATTTTGCCTATTCTTGTAACAGCTATTAAAAATAGTGTAATAATACAGAAATACCAAACAACATCAGAAAAGCAGAACAGCAATAATAAAAAATATTTACAATTAATAACTAAAATGGGAAAATAGCCATTGATAAAAATGTTAAGGAAAAATGATATCCTTGAAGAACATTTTCACCAACTTTTAAAGGTTATTTATAAATGATGAAATGGGGTCATTTTTGAAGTTCACGCAGGAGGTTGGCCAGTCCTCAGTGGATGCTCGCTCTAATGATACAGAGTTTCTGATGAAAAGCAGAAAACCCACCAATTTAGATGATATTAATGGTGGACAAGAAAGAGGTTTCCCTGATGATGGGGGCAAAAAGCTGAATGAAGAAAGACTTTGAAATAATAATTGGCTCAGTATTGATGCCATATGAGTTGGGAGTCTAATCCTCCAAAAGTCAGACAACTGTCTTGAAAACAGAAGGAAGATTCCAAATCATCTTTAAAAGCAGCACTACGTAGGGTACATTACAATAGTCTAGCATGAATAGATCATGAGTAGTAGAGGAAAGAGTAGCTCTCTTAGAATAGAACCATAGTTGGTAAAATAGTACTTCTGACTACTACCACCATGTCAGCTTTGTCATCTCCAAAAGCATTCCTGTGCTGTGCTTTGGTCTACAACCAGGTGTATTATCCATCTTGCTTCTTTATTCATAGTGTTACCATCCTGTATGGATTAAAGCTTTTTGCCTTCATCTGTTCTCAGTTCAGAATTCCATAACCTTCTATATTTTATATATTCTCTATATAACAGAATTTCAGGGTTGCTAAATACTGAACACGGAAGAAGATGCCCTAGGAGCATAATCTGAGAATCTCACATTTATTTTATGTACATTTCATATGCAACAACATTCATAATTCATATCCTACATAGTGCATCTAAATGCTTCAGTAGCCTTTCTAATATATTGTAGCTAGAATTCATATCCATGAAGATACCTTCTATTTGCCAAGCATTCCTTGTCGCTCTTTGTCTAATGTCAGAAGCCACAATGCAACTTCAGTGAAATCACAGCAATGTGATCAAAATAATGATATCAAATGAGCGTTAATTTTTTGTTTCCCTTAAGTTCAGCGTTTATGATTCATGAGATGATAAAAAAAATTATAGCTAACAATATATAAAAAAGCTGCTTAGCGTGGCTTTGATATGAAAAGAGCAGCCAATATATTTAACATGTAAAATAAATAAATAAAATAGTTGTGCAAGATTAATGAAATAAATGAATTATTATTATTTATTAAATTTATATGCTACCCAACTCCTAGCAACTCTGGGTGGTTTACAAACTGTTAAAAACATTTAAAACAAGAAAACAATGCAAAACAAAAAAGGAAGAAAGGTGGCAGAGATAATAAACCCAGATAAGAACAAAGAAAAGGGAAAAAAAGGAGGGGGCTTTAACCATGCTTGTCAAAGGCCTGGGCAAAGAGCCAGGTCTTTTGGGCTATTTGAAACGCCAATTGTGGTTTCTCCCACATATATTACTAATAATGTGGCTATAATGTTTATTTTTATGTTTATTTCAATAATTTACTATATAAATTCATAATATATTTTGGTCCCATTCAACAAGCATAAGATTTAAAAAAAAAAAAAAAAAAAAACAATCTTAACGAACATTGATGCAAAATCCACTGTGGCAAAGTGCCATTTTATAAGAGATGTTCCAATTCTTGTCTCACATTTTGACAGATGCTTACATCCTCTAAAGCCAGAGAGAATGCTTTCTGTGGTCAGATGAAATTGATTAATCAATCCATTTTCATACAATTAATTTCGATTTCTTTAATTGGCTGACAGCCTTCACTTCAAAGCATTTGTTCAAAAGACGTTCCTGGTGGAATACATTCCTTTCCTGTAATGAGTTCAATGGTGCATATGCACATGTAGTTGCATTGTTAATCATAGTTTATGAGAATAATTTACTCATTTTGAATTGCTTTCCGCTTCAATTTAAAACATTACCACCCACGTGTTGTTGTCCATCCTGAGAAAGGAAGGAAAGAATCAAATCTAGTTATGGAACCATGATCTATCTAATCTCCTGCGCCTTTTCTCTCTGTACCTTCTTTAATCCTAAGGAGCTGCAGGCACTTTGATTTCCCCAAATACTGAAAACTGAAATAGAAACAGGATCTATTTCCTGCAGTGTTTGTCCCTGAAGAGCAATGTAATATGAACAATAACAAAAAATTGGCTTAGGTAGTTTTAGGCAATGGAATTATCCTTACAGTATGTGGGTGAATATCAAAGGAGCTTTAAAGAAAGCACTTGTATATTTGGATAGGATAGAAAAGAGTTTCGTGTTCTAGTTTTAAATCTGATGTACTTTGTAATCCTAGAATCAGCTTTTAAATTCTGTATGGTGACCTCGTTCCTCAAGTGCTGATCTTGGAGTACCTCAGACAAAGCAGTTCATGCATGAGAGAAAATGAAAAGCAAATTTGAGGGAACCACTGTTGATGTAGAAAAGCACAAGCATGGTCATTGCCTTTGGAATGATGACAGGCTGTGTAAATATAAGGTTACACAAGTGCAAAAATGTAAGGTTAAAGGGAAGTAGAATGCAGTTTATTGAAAGAAGGCATGACTGGCTAGATGTCTCCACAGGGAGCAGATCTGGAACCCTGCCCTGAATATTACACATTGCCTCAGTCATTAGATGTGAACTCTCAACATTACATGATATATATTATCCATGATGTCGAAACTCCTAGCCGGGTGCACACTAATTTTGATGGAATGATAATTCCCAGATTTCCCAATGATGATGACTAGAAATTCTTGTAGGCTTAAAATATCTATGTCCATGGAGTGTAGCATAGATTAAATAATGAGAGAAAGCACTTAGGCCAGTGACTCCCAACCTTTTCTATACCCTGCATCCCTAGAATGCTTCTGATATATTCTCACACTCCTTTACAAAAGTTCAAATTAATGAATTATGCAGATAAACTATAATTTTGAAACTTCTAAACCCAAGTTTTTGCACCCCCTGCAATATCGTTTCATACCCCCAAGGGGTGCCAGTACCCCCATTTGGGAACCCCTGACTTAGGCAATCAATCTCACTTAAAATAATAGTAATTTTGCGTGTTTATTGAATACCTTGTTTAACTGTTTGAAAAGGAATATTAATCTAAATACCACAGCTGAGGTATTTTCAAGGGTATGCAAAACAAACAGCACTGGAACTATCTCTGCTAGCGTTGTACTACCCTAGACAATCTTATTTGGCTCTTTTTT